AATGATAAAGCATATACCGGTGGATAAATTATGTTAAAGCTTGTAAATAAAAAGGACCTCATTGGAAATAAATTTAATAAACCTAGTTTTAATTTAAGCAGGTCTTTATGGGTTACATGTATCCTCAAGAGGCTGGTCATTCATGACATCATTACGTTTTTTTCTCATCAAAACTTTCTCATCTTATTATAATAAATAAAGTAAAGTAAAGTAAAGTAAAGTAAAGTAAAGTAAAGAGTAAAAAGTAAATAAATAAATAAATTTAAAAGTTGATAAAGGGACAAGCAAATGACTGATGATTATCACAATGTTTTAAATAGAAATTTTATTGATGGCATTTATATTCTGCAAAAAATGTTGGAATTCCATGCCAAGTTTTTCCAAAGAGATTAGGGACCATGGTGGCTCGGTGAGTAAGACAATGACCCGCTAACCTGGAGGTCCTATGTTCGATCATCAGGATTCTCCGGTGTGGTTCTAAGGGACAACGTATAGTCATTGGGATGAGATTTTAAAAAAAAGGTCCCGTGTATACATTGGCATGCACGTAAAAGATCCCTTGGCAGTTGGAATTCAATATAAAAGTAGGACAACAGGGCAGCTTCCCAGTCAAATTTCCCCCATATCACACTGTGGCTTATGCCTGTCTTCATTAGCCAAGTCGGAGCAGAACAGTAGGACATTAAACCCCATTTTATTTTACAGAGAGATTGATGGGGTTGGGAGGGGTAACGTCCACTCGACAAATATCAGATCGTTTTGGGACTAATACATGGTACATATCTATGTTACATGTAATTATTCGCTTGCGCATATGGGTCTTTAGCAGTTGAAGAAAAAAAGGGCCTGCCCCCCCACCCCTTGTCATATACAAGTTTGCTGTAAAAACTACGCCCCTTGACTCAATGAATCTGAAATGATCTAAAGTGCATGTGTTAGACTATTCAACTAAACCACCCCACCCCTCATCCACAGGTACGGTATATAATTAAGCAGGTGTTCTATATATATACTTGAATATATCTACTGTAATTAGGGTGTCATCATTTTTTTAATATTTTTGAGTAGACCTGTTTAAATTTAATACCTAATAAAAGGCCACGTACATGTAGGATTTAATTTCTTAACCAACAAAATAAAACGAACTTTCTCGACCAACCCAAGGAGTAAACATTTATTTTTATTTTCTGCTTCACTGATCCAATATGAATACAGTATCAATCTAAGTTATTCACAAACAAGAAAAAAAACATTTGAATGTAGGCTAAACACGTAGATATAAAAAAAAACACTGACACCTTAATTGTAAACAAGAAATTGTGACTGGTTTATGATAGATAAATGTATTTCTTCTATAGAAAAAACCCATTTGTGAACAAATTTGTTAACGATTTCTTTTTATGTATTCGGACGTACTATGTGTGTCTGGTACTTATTGTTCACATATTCAACAGGGCGTAGCGATCTATGTTATATATATAGGTATTTATTTCTCATGTTGGGTCAAATCTATATAACGGTTAATGTACTTTAATTAAGTTACCCTAACGTAATGCACAGTAATCTATATACATTTCTTAACATAATAAACATGATCCATTACAATTGCTTTATAATATCATGTATCGACTATCAGTAACTGGTACGGTATTGTTCACACTCCCTAATACAGACTTATGAAAAGGATATAAAGTATTTAATTCCCATTTTAGGTCAAATGTGAGTAATTATTAAATAAAGGTGACTTACAAAGAAACAGGTAAATGAATACAAATTGATATATAAGGTATTTCAAGCCTGTAACACGTAGCACCATATTTGTAGTGGGTCAGATTTGTATTATTATGAATGAAGAATAAAGACCATGAGTGAAAATTTGAAGATTTGGTAAAAAGTAATACCTGGCACGCTTTGTTATTTTTTTTTTAATATTTAAGATTGTGCAACATGAAGATGACATTGAATATCTCTTTTTGGAGAACTACAAAGATATGTGCATTTTGCATTCCCCAAAACTTTCCATAAAGACCAGGAGATTAGGGTTCTAATTGTTATGGTAATTGATATAAATAGAGTTATATTATCGACAGTAAATAGGTACCTGGATCGGATTATCTATTCCTAGCCTACTATTCTACCGATAAACACATTGTTAGGTATTTATAAGCTGAGATTTTCTTTCATTTCTTACATTTTCTTGTGGACCTTTGACGTTGCAGTTCAGGTAAATTTAATCCTTGCTTTAAATATTTTGGTATTTTCAACAACACATAATTAATAGCTGTTATTTTAGTACAGACAGAGCCACGGTGGCTTAGTGAGTAAGATTCTGGCTTGCTAGTCTGGAGGTCGCAGGTTCGCTCCCGGTGTTGGCCGAGGAAGTTCGTCAGGACTTTCCGGCACGGTTTCCCCTTGTCAGTGGTGCAGGATGGAGGACTTGACAAGGACAATTGTCCCGTGTACATATTGGCGTGCATGTAAAAGAGCCCTTGGCAGTTGAAAATCATTATAAGAGTAGTCTGTAGCATCGCTGTCCAGGCAACATTTACCTCATAGCTCATTGTAAGACGTATGCCTGTCTTCATTAGCCCAGTTGGAGCAGAACAGTAGGATGTTCAACCCCATTTCATTTCTTTTTACATGCTGTCAATGGTTTTTCTGCACTGACCAGGCTAATGAAGACTAACATATAATGCAGCGTTCTGTACGGGGAATTTTGCCTGGGCAGTGTTTTTGTCTGTCTACCCTTCATCAAATACCAATTATCAAGGGTTCTGGTGTTTGTCCTACTCACTTAGCCCCCGTGGCTCCTAATGTGTACACTTAAGACCATAAGGTCTATTATTGAAATAATCATTAATTGCAATTCATCAAATATTGATCCTGTAGACCTGGAGACCTAAAATTACGATAACATCGTGATTTACAACAATTACAATATACATCAACAATTCTCAGTCGTTGTTGTTCGTATTTTAGAGAAGAGCAGAAAAAAGCTTCCCTTATAGTCAACCAATTGAAAAAAACGCTCCCCTTAAAAAACTTTCCCAGTTTCGATAAGAAGAGTGATTTAGAAATTAATGAAAGTGATCTGATATTATGGAGAGTCATTAATTGTGTGTATGGTTCTGAAGATCAATAACTGCATGTTGAAAAAATCGCTCCCCTAAAAAAGCTCTCCCAGTTTCGATTTAGAAATTGAGGAGAGTGATCTGATATTAAGGAGAGTGCTTATTTGTATGGGAAATGGATCTAAGATCAATAACTGCATGTAAGGGGGGGGGGGGCATTCCTGGTTTCATACATGATAATAAACCTCCCCTCAGTCGACATTCAGGTGAGCGGCAGACACTCGAAAGTGATTGCTTGCCTTAAAAAACAATGACTGAATTTTGTTTGATATATATGATAATATTTCTACGGTTTGTCGTGATTTACAACAATTACAATATAGATCAACATTATATATACTGTTCGATATATAATGATATTTCCACGGTTTGTTGTCTGAACATTTATAGGGAACAGATATGATTTGAAACAGAATAACTGAAACTCTATCCCCAGTCAACGTGTGGCTTTATCAATATCATTTAAATACAATGTAATAAATGTGATTCTGATCAAATAATACGGTACAAATCAATGAGGTGGTCTGAAATTTAATCAGGGTTCGACTCCAGATCAAGGATATACGCATTATTTTATAAACAGGCTATGCTAGATCATTGTTTAATTGAGGAAAAGGCTAGGTCCTATATATGACCTCTCTTGTCCTGCTAAAAGATGTTTGATTGAGAGATGATGTTTGTCCAATTGACAGAGCGGGGTTGGATGATCAAATAATTCGGTGAAGTGTCAAAAGGGTGTATCTAAGAATTTCTAAAGATTTGAAATAGAACCTTTTGCATTTCAAAATTTCCACAAATCAAGATACAAAATTTGGGCACATGATACCCAGAACAGTTCTAATTGGCGTAGAGATACACAGCTTAGACAGAAATGTGCATATTAATTGGGAGATTTTAAAAATGCAAAAAAAGAGTATTTGACTAATTTCCCGAGATACACCCTTTTGACACTTCACCAACGAAATAATTCGGTACAGGATATATGCATTATTTTATAAACAGTATTATCAGAAAAGGTTTGAGGAACAGGCTATGCTAGGCCAATATTTGAGTAAGGAAAAAGCTAGGCCTATATTATATAAAGTTGTTTGATTAAGAGACTACGATTAAATGTTTGTCTGACTGACAGATTATAATAAAATCATACATGAGTCTGTCCGATCTATTATATAGATTACATTTCACATTTTCCATTATTTCTGTTTATTAATGAAACAATATCTTGTGTTAATGTTCGACATCATGTTTAATTAATTAGCCTAGATTACCATAATAACACCAATATATAATCATCACGCTCAAGAATTCAATGCAATCATTTTCAGTAATATCTCATATAACAGGGATATTTTAGATTTATGTCGTAATGCTAGGATTCCCACTGTCATGCAATGCATTGCTATAGGATTGTTCTTTTCAATACTTTAACGGTTAACCATTCATAACAAAACACACCACAAGGTATATATGGATATAAATACTTCTCTATTATTTAATAACAACGTTTCGTAACACATACAGGTCACGTTTTCAAGTTAATAATAAATATCCATCTAGTCAGCCTATTTATACATATTTTGTTACACGCCAAATTGATTAATAACCAGAAGAAAGCATTAAAATAATTAAAAGCAGCCACAATAACAATTATAGATAATTGACTGTTAATAGAATGATAAAAGCTATTGAGTCCACAATCGAATATGTTTTGATATAATCAACACAATTGCAACGACTGACCAAAATAAGACCTGATAGGATCACCATGATTATATACTCCACGATTAAATCAACGATTTCAATCGTAGCGCGAATCATGATAGTGGGATCCGTAAAGCTTTTATAAACTGTTCTTGTTTTGTTTTTCAGAGATCACTTCAAAGATTTTAATTTGTGTTTACAAATTGACAAGATCATCAATTATACAGTAAAAAGACATGACAACCAAGCCCACGGATTGGAGACTCTGTCTTCCAGTATTATTGCTGCTATGTTTACCGTTATTTGAATGGTAAGTTCTTGAAAATATCTATCAAGGCAATTATGTATTGAATAATAAATTCTCCAGTTGATCAATTTCACTGCTAGTCAGAAGTGAATGAAATGAAATGAAGTTTAACGTCCTATTGTTCTGAACTGACAGGGTTAATAAACACTGGCATACACCATGATACAGTGTGCTATGAGGAGCTTTTTGTTTTACGTCCCATCTCCGACTTGCACCACTGACTGCTAAGAGGAGGCCACTTCCGAATTTTTCCGGGTCCTCCCGTTTCCTCCCACTGCTAATTAAAGACCCCTATGTTAGTCCTGAAATGACTTGGTTTGTGTCGAGTGGAAGTTAAACCCCATTTCTCCCTCTCCCTTTCGCTAAATCCCGATGATTTATCTCACCCAACACCGGGATTAAACAGATTGGTATGCCAACGTCTTACTCACTGAGCCACCACAGCCCCCCACAGCTTGTCAGTCATGACTGGAAGAAATGGCTAACATGAGAACCATGCTGACCACCTGTCTCCAAGGACACCTTTGTTAATGTTGTCATCTCATGTCAAATAAAGTAGCTAAGTCTTCGACATTGAAATGAAATGGGGTTTAATGTCCTACTGTTCTGCTCCTATACTGGGCTAATGAAGACGGGCATACGCCATACATTGTGCTATGAGGGGAATTTTATTGGACAGCTGCACTACGGCCTACTCTTATATCGAATTCCAACTGTCAAGGGTTTCTTTTACGTGCACGCCAATGTGTACAGGGAACCTTAATTTTCCATCTCATCCGAATGACTAAACAGCTGTTCTTGTCGGACCCTCTCAGGTTAGCGTGTGCGCGCTGCATTATAAGGTCTGTCGTTGAGTCAACTGGTGTGCTTTCAATTCCCCGGTTGTACGTGACAACGAGTTGGGTTGCATGTCTAACCTTGTGGGTTTTCTCCGGGTCCTGCTAATTATTATTATATTGATTGCTGTTTGTTTTACAGTGGTTATGTCATTCTGGCATCTAAGAAGTTTCGTCCGGGCTCAGACTACAAAGTGTTAATAAGTATTGAAGGAGCATCAAGTAATGTGGCGATAACAAGCACATTAAAAAGTAAAGCAACAGCAGGTGGCAGTACCATGTTAGAAACAACTGCAATTGGTGTCAGTGGTAAGTACACCATATCGTACGGAAGGGCTGGTAACTGGTGTCAGTGGTAAGTACACCGTATCCTATGGAAGGGCTGACAACTAGTGTCAGTGGTAAGTACACTGTATCCTACGGAAGGCCTGACAACTAGTGTCAGTGGAAAGTACACCATATCGTACGGTAGGGCCAGTAACTGGTGTCAGTGGTAAGTACACCATATCCTATGAAGGGCCGGTAACTGGTGTCAGTGGTAAGTACACCATATCCTATGGAAGGGCTGACAACTAGTGTCAGTGGAAAGTACACTGTATCCTACGGAAGGGCTGACAACTAGTGTCAGTGGTAAGTACACCATATCGTACGGTAGGGCCAGTAACTGGTGTCAGTGGTAACTACACCATATCCTATGAAGGGCCGGTAACTGGTGTCAGTGGTAAGTACACTGTATCCTATGGAAGGGCTGACAACTAGTGTCACTGGTAAGTACACTGTATCCTACGGAAGGGCTGACAACTAGTGTCAGTGGTAAGTACACCATATCGTACGGTAGGGCCAGTAACTGGTGTCAGTGGTAAGTACACCATATTGTACGGAAGGGCCGGTAACTGGGGTCTGTGGTAAGTACACCGCATCATATGGAAGGGCTGGTAACAGGTGTCAGTGGTAACTACACCATATCCTATGAAGGGCTGGTAACTAGTGTCAGTGGTAAGTACACTGTATCCTATGAAGGGCTGGTATAATTGGATTAATTTTACACGATCAATAATAGTTTACAGGTACATCGGTCATTGTTTTTTAGGGTGAGCGATCACTCTCAAGCGCCTGCCGCTCACCTGAATGTCAACAGAGTCATTGGGGTTTATTATCATTTATGAAACCAGGAATGACCCCCCCTAACATGCAGTTATTGATCTTCAGAACCATTTCCCAAACAAATAATCGCTCTCCTTAATATCTGATCACTCTACTTAATTTCTAAATCACTCTTCTTATCGAAACTTGGAGAGCTTTTTTAGGGGATCGATTTCTTCAATTTGTTGATTAGATAGAGCTTTTTTCGGCTCTCCTCTAAAATACGAAGAACGACACCGATACATTCCACAGCATCACACACAAACAATTACACAAGACAACCCTACAGACATATCAGATCCAGTGAATCAATCAGGAGGCAGTCGTGTATGTATAATGAAATGAAATGAAATGGGGTTTAACATCCTACTGTTCTGCTCTGACTGGGCTAATAAAGACGGTCATAGGCCATACAATGTGCTATGAGGGAAATTTTGCCCAGTGCAGCAGCACTACAGCCTACTCTTATATCGAATTTCCAAGGGATCTTTTACGTGTACACCAATGTGTACACAGGACCACCGTTTTTTGTCCGATCTGAACGACTGGACAACTGTCCTTGTCAGGCCGTCCATCCTGCATCACTGACAAGGGGAAACCACGTCGGAAAATCCTGATGAACTTTCTCGGCCAATGCAGGGATCGAACATGTGACCTCCAGGCTAGTGAGCCAGCGTCTTACCCACTTAGCCACCTTGGCTCCCCTTTCCAATAAAAGCATGACCAATTTAATGTATGGAAAGTGGAGACACCCAATCTTGCTAGAATTATTTTGGATTACCTGCTTGATATAGCTAGCCGTTGTGAGAATAGTTGGGAATTCGGGTCTGTTTTTAAATACATTCATACATGTATGTAAACCCAACTTATTGCAATCTGATTAAAACACAGATCCTATTTTCTTTACTTTTTATTATAGTTCAAAATTTCGTTTTACTTATCTTTACTACACTAGGATCTGGAAGACTTGTTATATTACCAGCGTTCTGGTTGAAGTGAGGGGTTAGCCAATGAAACAGTCTGTTACGGCGAGTTCTTGGCATGTGATGCATGGAACTGTGGTTAACACCTAGAAACGTCAACGCCAACATCAATCAATGTCTGATGTCATATGGTCAAAGGCCACTCATACGACCCATGACACAACCTTCCAGTACAACCGGTCAGTGTAGTGTAGGCCATCGAAAGTATAAAAAAAAACGAAACAAAATATAGATCTGTATTTTAATCAGATTGAACATATATTTGTACGAATATCGACCATCTTTTTATTTTTTTTTTCAGGACAGACAAGTACACTTACCTTCCAGGTAAAACATTTTTTCTCTTGTTTTGACTTGACTGTATATATAAATGCTTGAATCTACACAACACATAGGAAGGTCCATGTATAAGTGTTTAAAAAATCTGGTCTTACCCATGGGCTTTAGGGGGGAGGGGGTTGGATGGCCGAATGGTTAGCACGTACATGCTGTATCATAAGGCCTGTCATTGAGTCAACTGGCTTGGTTTCGAATCCCTGGTTGTACGTGACAAGGAGTAGTGTCGCCTGTCGAACCTCATGGGTTTTCTCCGGGACCTCCGGTTGCCTCCCACTGCTAAAGACCCCTACGCGCAAGCAAATTATTGAAATAAAATTAAAAAATATGTTAGTCCCGAAATGACCTAGTTTGTGTCCAGTGGACGTTAAACCCCATTTCTCTCTCTCTCTCTCTCTCTTCATGGACTTTAGATCATAAGGTCTGTAATTGAGACAACTGGGGTGGTTTTGATTCCAAGCTAGTAGGCTTCCTTCTACTGCTAAATACCCATATGCACAAGTAAATTAATGCCATTAAATTGGACCATATGTCAGTTCCAAAAAACCAAACATAGATTGTGAGGAGTGAACACTCTCTCTTTAACTCTCTCAATAGGATGAATAATAACATAGATCAATAGGATCAGATATCTAGCCTATTATTGTTATAAGGTATTATTGATAATATCTCACACCCTGTGCTATATACATGTATATAATAATACAATAGGATCAGATATCTAGCCTATTATTGTTATATGGTATTATTGATAATATCTCACACCCTGTGCTATATACATGTATAGATTGTAAAGATAACATGTAATATATACTGAATAAATCATATGCATATTATATATATTAATCCAGAAATATTAGCACAACAGTAAAGCTGCACTACTTTGTTAAGACAAAAACTGATTTCAACACTGGTTTAATAACATTTTAACATTTTAAAGGAGCTAAATCGCTTATATTTGGGACCTACAAATTGACACAAATGGGTCACAACGTATATAATATGAATGTAAATAAACTGATTTACATTCAGTCGGTTCTGTTTTTACTCTAATTTCAAAGCAATTATGTTCATCGAAATACGCCAGCGTCTAGTTATTCCAGTCTACACCGATAGTATTTATTACGCATGCTCCCAGCAGTTATGTTCATCGAAATACGCCAGAAGTCTCAATCGAATGGCAATCTCTAGCGTCTGGTTATTCCATTCTACACCGATAGTATTTCTTGCTCATGCTCTCAAAATAAGAATATGGGGTCACCATTTGACATGACTTGTGGAATATGTCTAACATTGTTCTTCGAGTCGCTTGTTACAAATTGCGCTGAAATGCATTATGGTACACGATTCGTGTACCAATCGTAAAATGTTTATTTTGTCTCAAATATTGGATCAGAAGCCCATCTTTTCCCAGTAAGATCACAACACCAATGTTGATTAAAATTGACAAATAATTCGCGTTTTCATTGTCAAAGGTTTTGGATGATATTGAGTTAGAGACTTGGCTACTTTAAAGTACTTTTCATCCATATTGGGACTAATCATAAATAATGTATATACATGTATCATGATAACATGCCATTTATACTGAATAAATCATATATATATACTAAGCTTCTTCGGGCAAACTTTAATAATTCCAACAATTGATGTTTTATCAGATAATCTTTACGCTCTGTTTAATTCTTGCAGCTTATGTAAGACAACGACCTTGACATTTTAAAAGTAAATATGATATGTACAAAAATTACTCCTTAAAAATGCATTATGCAAGAGCTAAATCTGCTTATTGCAGGTCTTTCTTTAGGCCTGAAATATTATATAAACTATTGATTAGACATTTATTAACAAAACAAGACCATAATCAAATATCGATGGCATTGGATACTCGAGAATTTAACTAGATTAGAACTGTTCGCATTTGAAAAATTTAATTTAAAAATGGGAAAGCTAGTCTAAGTCTCGAATATACCAGTGCGCTGGTTACCACAATGCACACATCTTGTCAAAACTACAAACAGTGATAACTTTGCTCAGAATGAAGTAATTTGAATGAAATTTTCATTTTACATTATCTATTTTTGAGCTATTATAGCAAGAATGGTCAGCTCTTTATTTAAATATTACATAATGTATGTTTAATAGTAAGTGCAGGAGGACCGCACTACACACAGAACAAAATTGTACAAGATAAACCTGCAGACAAGACAGAAAATAGTTATATTTATCATTGAAATAACACTAGAACTTTTCTCAGTTGTGTTGAATAATTAACAGACGAAATAATTAATAAGTAATCTTGCCCCGTGTTCACAAAGCTATCTCAGACTTAAGTTAAGAATTTACTCAACTTTCAATCACTGTTTATGAGAAATATCATTGATCTAGAAACACAAAACTTTACACATAGTTTCTTATTGATGTTTTTGATATATTAAAACAACAGAAGTTTTATAAAGGGCTATATTTTAGTTAAAATAACACAAATAATTTTGAGTAAGTTTGAGAATAATCTTTAAGTGGCATTTAGTGATTGGGGTACACAATAACAGAACACAATTTTTATGGGAAACAATCACTGGTTTTATTCTAATAGCACGACGTTTCGACAAGTATCCTCTTATCGTGAAACAATCACTGGTTTTATTCTAATAGCACGACGTTTCGACAAGTATCCTCTTATCGTTATAACGATAAGAGGATACTTGTCGAAACGTCGTGCTATTAGAATAAAACCAGTGATTGTTTCTCATAAAAATTGTGTTCTGTTAAGTTTGAGAATGCTTTGTAAACTTGGGGCCTGAACAGACCAAGTTAAACTATGTAACACTAGTAGGAACTCAATAGTTTTCGATGATTCTCTACAAATTTTAACAATAGCTTGAAACTAAACGTTAAAATAAAGAAACTCATAAACAGCACAGCTCCTGCTAAAACAGCACAACGACACAATACCCGAGCTGTAGTATAATAATCATAAAATGAATTTCATTTTGCAGATACCCACTGATGCAACAGAAGGAGCGTATAGTTTAAAAGTTATGGGTACCGGTGGATTGACATTCACCAATGAAACGACAGTAGAACGAGAGAGTCAAAATGCTCTTCTGCTTATACAAACAGATAAAGCTATTTATAAACCAAATCAAGTCGGTAAGTTATTATTATTAGTAGTATTATTATTAGTATTTAGTATTATCATTATTATTCTTCTTCTTATTATTATTATTATTAGTATTAGTAATATCTTCTTCTTCTGGAGGGTTGGATGGCCGAATGGTTAGTACGCATGCGCTATGTCATACGGTCTGTCATTGAGTCAACTGGCAAGGTTTTGATTCCCTGACAAGGAGGAGTAGGGTCACCTGTCCAACCTCATGGGTTTTCTCTGGGTTCTCCGGTTTCCTATCACTGCTAAAGACCCCTACGCGCAAGCGAATTATTGAAATAAAAATTAAACCATGTTAGTCCCGAAATGACCTAGTTTGTGTCGAGTGGACATTAAACCCCATCTCTCTCTCTCTCTCTCTCTCTCTCTCTCGCTCTCTCATTATTATTATTATTATTATTATTATTCAATTTACAGCCCTTTAGCCCTGAATGGAATAGGGTTTTACTTTTTTTTTTTATGATGTCTTGATTTTTATCTTTGGTGGTTAACTAGATGGACAATTTAAAACTATGTGACAGTAGGAACCCAATAATCTTTGATGATTCTCAACGAATTTGAACGGCTTGCCAACAATGGTTTAACCCAACGTCATGACATCAAGTGATCAGGCTAAATAACAAAGGCTGACGTGAAATATTTTGTATGCCTATTTCAATCGACTACTGTCGAATAATTATAAGTGATAGACTCTTGACATCAATAAAAAAGTTGAAGGGGATAAGTTGATCTATAATTTGCAAATCATTCTAAAACGTTTTCATCAGAAATATCGTCTTCAGAATCGATGTCATCGATATAATCCGAGTCGGAATAATTCATAAGTATTTCGACCACTTTGAGTGTCTTTAACATTCCCAACATCGTTAAATTACGTTTTTCGTCAAAAAATGTTGAACAAAGACATGTTTTTCTCAATGCCCTTGACAAGACAAATTCCTGTCTGATACGTGTGCGTGGCCATATCAATTAAATACGAAACTAAATACTCAAATGCGGCTTATAAAAAAGGTTCTTGCTGTGGTTGACTAAAGTCGACCGTGACCACTTAGCCGTATAACGTTACAGTGACTATAGTCGTCAATGACCGGTTTAGGGTTAAAACTGTTAAAACAGCACAACTACATGATACCTAAGTGTTATTTTTTGTTTTATGTTTTTTTCAGTAAAGATGCGAGTACTTGCTATTGATCCTGATTATAAAACTGTTAATGGACCTATGACAGTTTCTATCACAGTAAGTCTAATAAATAGTTTCATTAATATTCATATCAATTAACGCAAGGTACAATTTTATGGATACACAATTACTGAGTTTAATACTAAGTGACGTTTGGACGAGGATACTCTCCTCTTTATCAAGCAAATGATACAGGTATATGAATCAAATATCAGAGATTGTAATTTTTATATTTACGGCGTGGTTTTGCCTTGCTAGTACATACAGTGGTGTAAGACAGATTGCCTAGTTGTTCGGATGGGACGAGAACCCAAGATCCAGTGTACACATTAGAATTCGATATAGAAGGCCATAGTGCCACTGTCCGGACAAAATTTATTCTGTAACTAGCTCAGAGCAACCAGGGGGGGGTAAGTGTTCTCAGGAGTGCTGTAAAATTGACAATGTATATCTATTGTTTTTTTGTTTTTTTTAAGCAATATTTTTATTCAGATTTGTATCTGAATAGGGATTGGGGAACAGGCATAGCCTATATCAAACCCCTCTCCCTAGTTTGATATTGTTTTTATGGTCGACAGGTTATTAATGGGGGGTCCAGAACTGTATATCTTCCTGGAATTTGTTATCCTGTTTACTAGGAGGTTACAGGTTTGATCCCAGTGTTGTTTGAGAAAGTACCCCTGGATGATCCCTTACTTTGGAAGTTATTACCGTAAAGGTCCTGGGTTTCATCCCAGCACGTAAAGAATCTTTGAAAAGTACTCAAAATATAATTCATACCGGTTTTTAAACAATCTGTCGGGACCTACATGGAACGTGTGTAATTATCTGTTCTATTATTATTTAGGACAAGAACAACAACAAGTTAGAAGAATTTAAAGATGTTGTTGGGCAAAATGGTGAGTAAATTTTGTTTGGCAGTACACTGGTAACTTTCTTCACCTATTTAACTACAGATTCACACTTCTATGAAAGCTTCAATAGACCAGAGGGGTGTTGGATGGCCGAATGGTTAGCACGTGCTCGCTGTATCATACAGTCTGTCATTGAGTCAACTGGCGGGGTTTCAATTCCCTGGTTGTACGTGACGAGGAGTAGGGCTGCCTGTCCAACCTCGTGGGTTTTCTCTGGGTCCTCCGTTTCCTCCCACTGCTAAAGACCCCTACGTGCAAGCGAATTATTGAAATAAAAATTGAACCATATGTTGGTCTCATAATGACCTAGTTGGTATCGAGTGGATATTAAACCCCATTTCTCTCTCTCTCTCCAATAGACCATATTCAGGCGTCATTACCGAATGTCCTCACCTTGCGCTTACCATGTGTTCCACACAGTGATACAGGACAGAGGGCCTAGTTAGAAACAGAAAAGCAGGAAGTTTTATTCTATTTCATTTCTTATTTTTCTTAATGTCTGACATGTTTTATCACTGTTGGTTATATTCCAGGTGTTGTTCAACTTGAATTTCCAATCTCTGATGAACCACCACTTGGTGACTGGACAATCCAAGCTTCAATGGGGGTAAGTTTACTAGGTTAAAGAATATAGCACTTTTAAATTGTTGATAATGACAACTGATAACTGGTTATCAGTCAGTCTTTTAAAAAATTTTATTTGGGAGCAAGATGTTTGTTTTTCTTGTTTTTATAGCGTGGTTGGATGACCATTTACTAGTTTGTGCGATCACTACACCTGTGTACATGGGTTGGGTCTAATAGTTAGTGCAGGGGGACTGCACCACACATAATTTACACAAAACAAATATATGGACAAGACATTATACTCAGAAATCACAAACAAACGAACAATTCAAATAAAGTGAATGGATCCGGGGGGCTAGCCGTAAGCGCCCACTGTGGTGTACAGTCCCGTGCCTGTAGTGATACAGACTTCACTCAAATTTGAAAACAATCAGGAATACAGCTCAAAGAAACCATTGTATAATGCCAGCATGAGTCATGATCTCCTATATGCTACAAGAAATATGAATGTTAGCATATTGAAGTAAAATTTAACTATACAAGTAACCACATCGGTAAAATGTTTAAAAAAAAGCAGGTAGTCTAAAACTAAATGCTGTAAGGAATTTGATATAAGGGTAGGCCGTAGTGCTGCTGTCCGGGCAAAATTTCCCTCATAGCACACTGTATGGCATATGCCCGTCTTCATTAGCCCAGTTCGGAGCAAAACAGTAGGACGTTAAACCCCATTTCATTTCATTTCTGTTTTTGTACTGTTTTTGTGCAGGGATTTTCTAGATATCTAAAAATATATAAACACGTTGTTGATTGATAATTCCATTTTGTTTTTATCAGGATGCCAGTGAGAATAAAATATTTAAAGTTGATGAATATGGTGAGTACTAGTCGTTTAAAATATAACTTATATTTAGGTCATGTGATCCTGATAAATATAACTTATATTTAGGTCATGTGATCCTGATAAATATAACTTATATTTAGGTCATGTGATCCTGATAAATATAACTTATATTTAGGTCATGTGATCCTGATAAATATAACTTATATTTAGGTGATGTGATCCTGATGAGTTGCTGGGCAGTGGTGTCAGAACCTGATCCATGCTTTGTGTCGTGGCTGGCAGGTCGGTGATCTGTGGATCATGTGATTCAATGTTACAAGGAGTAGTTAAGCCTGTTAGTTTTCACTGGGTTTTCTTGTTTCGGTGCGTCGTTGTATTGAAATAGTCCAGGCACTACAGGCTAAATTTATCATCTGATTGACTTATTTTATATTCAGCCTGATTTGTAGGGGTTTATACATTGATGTATTGTAAATGTTCCCTTTTTATACAATAAAATAAATATGCAACAACTTTTGTCTACTGCTTGGATGAGGGGGGTTGGATGGCCGAATGGTTAGCACGTGCTGTCATTGAGTCAACTGGCGGGGTTTTGATTCCCCGGTTGTAAGTGACAAGGAGTAGGGTCGCCTGTCCAACCTCGTGGGTTTTTTCCAGGTCCTCCGGTTTCCTCCCACTGCTAAAGACCCCTACGCGCAAGCGAATTATTGAAATAAAATTGAACCATGTGTTAGCCCCGAAATGACCTAGTTTGTGTCGAGTGGACGTTAAACCCCATTTCTCTCTCTCTCTGCTTGGATGATTTTACTGGTATGTGTCTTTCCGGGAGAAGGGCATGTTAGATCATAAGGTCTGTCATTGAGTCAAGTGGTGTGGTTTCAATTTCTAGCTTGTATGTGACACGGAGTAGGGTCACCTGTCCAACCTTATGGGTTTTCTCTGGGTCCTCCGATTTTGTCCCAAAACCCTTGTGCTAAAGACCCTTTTGCACAAGAGATTTATTGAAATCATATTTAATCCTATGTTAGTCCCGAAATGATCTAGTTTGTGTTGAGTGGATGTTAAACCCCAAACCTGTAGGTTTCTACCTGTTTTGTTGAAATCATATTTAATCCTATGTTAGTCCCGAAATGATCTAGTTTGTGTTGAGTGGATGTTAAACCCCAAACCTGTATGTTTCTACCTGTTTTGTTGAACCCCTTATTCCCACATGGTGAAACCCCAATTCCATATGGTGAAACCCCATAATTCCACATGGTATTCTAGTTTGTGTCAAGTGGAGGTCTCTCTCTCTCTCTCTCGCTCTCTGAATTGCCTGGCAACCTATATTTGTACCTGTTTTATATTTTAGTTCTACCCAAGTTTGAAGTAACAACAATGACAGAACCTGGTTATTTACTCTATAAAAAGGGAGAACAACAAGATCTTGTTGTTAAAGTTAAAGCTGTGTAAGTTATTATTATAATGCAGGAATTATGATTAATAAGTAAATCCATTCCCTTTAGGCCGTGTTGAATTGATTCCTTGTTTCGAGGACCCCGAAAATCGTGCGCTTGCGTTTTTAACACAAAAAAAAATATTCAAAAAATTACGTTAAAAACATCTAAATAAAATTCTACCAAACATCAGAAGTCAATTCTCGTTGTTTATTCCTCGTCACTTCGATGATATTGTCGAAACCATCTATAACTCAACAAGTGAATCAAATTCCGTCTAACTGAAATGTTTCCATTTTATTGTAACACAAGAATACGGAAAATTTATATCAAAATATGGTTATTTCATATTTTAAAAAGATAAACAAGAAGCCACTTGTTACCAAATTTTAGTTTGTTATTAAATTTATTCAATTAAATATTATCTGTGCTTTTATTCTAACCAATAATATAAGTAGATTATTTGTAATATTAAAAATGGTACACAACCCTCAGACTATAGATATTATGCTAGATCACTTTGTGTTTTGAAACCCACTTTGTGTTGTGTTTACCGCACTACCACACATGATTGCCAGAGTGGTGGCAGGAGAAACAAGGAGTCAATTCAACATGACCTTAATGGACTTCAACTAGAAATACCAGTTAGTCTCAGATAGAATCAACTGAATACTGCAAATCCCATCCCTATCGTTATGGTTATATAGTGTTTTTATTTCTTCATATACACAATAGGCAAACAAATTATTGAAATAAAATTGAAGCATATGTTAGTACCAAAATGACCTAGTTTGTGCCGAGTGGATGTTAAACCTCATTTCTTTCTCTCTCTCTTTCTCTTCAGATACACGTATGGTAAAGATGTTGTTGGATCAGCTCGTGTAAAAGTTGTCAGTGATACAACTAGTATGGAGAAAACTGTAGATGTACGATTCTTTACCTATATCCCACCAAAATAACAGAACTTAATTTGAACCAAATATACCATACCAAGAGTATATCTTTGAATAAAAATTCGAGAGCCACCGTGGCTAAGACTCTGGCTCGCTGGTCTCTGGAGGTCTCGTGTTCGATCCTTGCATTGGCCGAGAAAGTTTATCCAGATGTGGTTTCCCCTTGTCAGTGGTGCAGGATGGAGGGTCTGACAAGAACAGCTGTCTAGTCATTCGGATGGGACAAAAAACCAAGGTCCTGTGTACACATTAGCGTTCACGTAAAAGATCTCTTGGCAGTTGGAATTCGATATATGAGTAGGCCATAGTGCTGCTGCCCGGGCAAAATTTCCTCATAGCACACCGTATGGCATGTGCCCATTTTCATTAGCCCAGTCGGAGCAGAATAGTAGGACGTTAAACCCCATTTCATTTCATTTCATTTGAATAAAAACAAAAATACTGTTCTAAGGCTTTCAAAGACTGTTGAATTGAACCAAAAATATTATTCTATCAATAAAAGAAACTGCTGAATAAAAAAACCAAACAAGGTTTCAAGTTCAATATATGTATTAATTCAAACAGGACAGTCTTTAAAATCTAAACTGTGGTTAGATCTTTCATTTCGGTTCAGAAAGGTAGAACGTCAAACCTCATTCCTTTTTTCTAAAACATCAAACCCCATTCCATTTTTTTTCCGAATCAGTATTCTTTCAAAGTCTTTAAAGAGGAAAAATCATTACTTGAAATATCATGTTACTCTCACATTAATCTTTACTGATTCCGTCTTCATGAGCCAAGTCCTTCGGATGAAACAAAAAAACGAGGCCCCGTGTATACATTGGAATGCACGTAAAAGATCCCTTGACAGTTGGAATTTGACATGAGAGTAGGCGATAGTGCCGCTGCCCGAACAAAATTTCCCTCATAGCACACTGTCTGGCGCATGCCCGTCTTCATTAGCCCAGTATAGGAGCAGAACAGTAGGACGTTAAACCCTATTTTATTTCATTTGTCTTCATGAGCCAAGTCGGTGCAGAATAGTAGGATGTTAAACATCATTTCATTTATTTTATTTACAGATTTCTGGTTCTGTTGATGTAAAATTCACGATTGCCGAATTAGTGGGGGATGATGTTTACAATAATTTTAGGTTCAGAAGATCTTATATACAAAAAAAAGTCAGTATCGGTGTAAATGTTACAGCCCTGCCGACAATGTTCAGTATTACCGATGATACTAGTGTTAAGATTTACTCATATTCGAAGAAGATTCACCTTGAAACCTTCAACAACTTAAATATATATCATCCTGGTATGCCCATCAAACTTCGGGTGAGTATTAAACGTTTGTCAAACTGATTACAATACATATATTTCTTTCCGTTTTTTTTTATTCTTTCGATGGCCTACACTTCATGAAGATCTGACAAGTTGTAGCGTTTCGTTCCGTTTTTTTTTATTCTTTCGATGGCCTACACTACATGAAGATCTGACAAGTTGTAGCGTTATGTCGCGTTAGAGGTCATACAAGCCGCTTTTGACCCTATGACGTCAGACATCTGATTACCAAATCAGCATTGATGTTTATAGTGGATTACCCACATTTCCGTAAAGCTTGCCGTAACAGACTGTTTCATTGGCTAATCCATCACACCATCCAGAATATGTCAATGATAACAACTCTTCCAGATCCTAGTGTAGTAAAGACAAGTAAAACGAAATTTTGAACTATAAAAAACAAAACGAAATAGGATCTGTGTTTTAATCAGATTAAAAAGTTTGTCAGTTTTATTAGAGGGTATAATTGCCATGACAAATTATTAAAACGAAAAAGCCTGTCAAATTTCAAAATTTTCTGTAAGTTATTTCCAGAATTAAGGCCCTTGTTTCAGTTTGTAGAACCTTGTGAACCCTCAAACGACAAAAATTATAATCTGATCTGTAGAAAATTTTCTTGTAAATGCCCCCAATCACCTACAAAAGAATAAATATGTGACACCCCTTGTCGACCCCTTGGATGAATTAGCTGCAGTGGGCATATGTTTTGTTGCCTGGCAACCTATCTTTGTTGTCTATTTTAGGTTAAAATTACAGACCCCGAAGGATTTCCATTAACACAATATGGAATGACTGTAGCTGTGTCAACCGGTAACACAAAGAAGAATGTTACTATAAATGGTCCAGAGGGCTCGGTTGTTACATTTGAAGAGTATGATGATCAGTACGCTAATTTTAATGTAAGTTTCTACTTTCGTTTTTATTTTTTAAAATAGCAGGGACCACTGTTGATCATTAAGTAATGCTTAGGCTCACTCACCAAGAGATCACAGGTTCAATCTCACATGTTGCGAAGGAAGTTCCTAGGATTTGTCGGCAGTGTTTCCCCCTCTCGGAACGCATGGTAACATGGTAAGGAATGGCAACAGTCCAGTTTCCTCATTCTCATACAAGACGCAGAGTCTGAGCAGGACAAATGTCTAGACGTTCAGATGGCACAAAAAGCTGAGGTCCTGTGTACACATTGGCATGTACGTAAAAGATCATGTGTACCAATGTTAAAATGTTTATATTGTTTTAAATATTGAATACCAAGCCCATTTTTTCCCAGTAAGAGCACAACATCAATGTTGATTTTAATTGACATATAATTCGTGTTCTGAATTTCGAAGACATTGGATGATATTGAGTTAGCTACTTTAAAATCTGTTGTGTTTTTTTGTTTTCTAGGCGCAAATTGAAGGTAGTTTAGAAGTTCAAAACAGCTTCTTATCTTTACAAAAATATGCATCAATTGGCAGCTCAACATTACAGATAACGGATTCTGATGGAAAGACACTAAAGGTGAGTGGAAGGGTCAATACATCATTTAGCGCTATAGGAATCCCCTGAAAACTACGATATTGTGAAAGTTGTATCTCCAATAGGAATATCAATACGAACAAGGTTCTTCAATTCCGTTCAATATTTACAATCTCTAATAGGAATATCAATACGAACAAGGTTCTTCAATTCTGTTCAATATTTACCAATCTCTAATAGGAATATCAGTACGAAAACATTTCTTCAATTCTGTTCAATATTTACAATATCTCGAATAGGAATATCAGTACGAACGAGGTTCTTCACTTCCGTTCAATACTTCCAAAGTTATGATAAATTGAAATTTCATCAATCTATTTTCCTCTACTTGCATGTAAAATAACTGAATTAAAAGTATACTCTGTGTAAAATCCTCGCTAGCCTGGAGGTCGGGTGTTCGATCCCTGCATTGGCCGAGAAAGTTCATCCAGATTTTCCGGCGTGGTTCTCCCTTGTCAGTGATGCAGGACGGAGGGGCTGACAAGGACAGCTGTCTAGTCGTTCGGATGGGATGAAAAACCGAGGTCCCGTGTACACATTGGTGTGCACGTTAAAGATCCCTTGACAGTTGGAATTCGATATAAGAGTAGGCCGTAGTGCCGCTGTCCGGGCAAAATTTCCCTCATAGCACACTGTATGGCATATGCCCGTCTTCATTAGCCCAGTTCGGAGCAAAACAGTAGGACGTTAAACCCCATTTCATTTCTGTGTAAAATCCCAAAATGACCTATTTTATGTTGAGTGGGCATCAAACCCCAGTCTTTACTTTCTCTATATTTACATATTAATACATATTTTTATTTCTGTACTCTTATTACGTATTTCTATATTTTCAGAATTACGATTTGGATACTAATACTGAATTTTCATTAACTGTAAAAACAAAAGGATCCCTGACGTTGTTGTCCTATTTGGTAAGACTTTATATATTTAAAACGCGGTGGAGTAGTGGGGGGGGGAGTGGACGTTAAACCCCACTTTTCTTTCTATATATACATTTAAACATGCCTGCTCAACCTACAGCGGTACAAAAACAGACATTGGATTTTTGTGTGGATTTGATAGCGGTTATACTTTACTAATATTCTCTGAAATTTGAAAAAACTGTTTAAAATCACCATAAATCGTTTAATTTGTACTTCTGTCCAGTTTAAAGCTGACCATTTAATTTTGATAATGAGTGTCCAATTTACAAGTGTTTAATTACTCAATCACTGTTAAAAAATAAACAACTCAATTGATTAATGATGTATAATGATTAATTTTTGAACAGTGATCAGGAAATTAAATACTTGTAAATTGGATAGTCATTGTCAAAATTGATCAGTCAGCTTCAAGTTGGGTCAAAGGTCACGAGATGTACACAGGGCCAGTCCTCATCTCAACCCTAAACCTAACCCTGGACCTAGCCCTAATGCTTACCCTAACCTACAATCTCGCCAACAATCACATGCCCTAACCTTATTTACATCTCAGCAACCTTGACAAAAACTGAGTTAGCCTTAACAAATAGATCTAGCCGTGAAAAGGGTAATCTGATTAATCAAGGGAGATAATTTGATGTATCAAGGGAGATAATTTGATGTGTCAAAGGATAATTTGATGTATCAAGGGAGATAATTTGATGTGTCAAGGGAGATAATCTGATGTAATAAGGGAGATAATCATAAATGTATTACTAAAAATATCTATTTTATTCATTTATCCTTATGTTGTCTTGGTAAATATTGACCTGGTTATGAATCGTGAAACGAATCGTATCATAGCACCCGATTAGCAATTCATATCATTCCGTGGCTGCAGTGGCAATACCCAGCACTAGGTCAAAGCATTGCAACTGGGAATGTGAATTCTCATAGGGGATGCTAGATTCATAGTCCAGAACGTCCAGAATTGACATAATTGAAATCAAGTTACTGAGAATTCAGTCCTGTCCAGTCCATGCGAAAGCCGTCGGACCGTCGGTCATTACTGATAAAATAGCTCTCGGTCCGGTATTTTCATCATGAATACCGGCCCAGTTGTCCGGAAAGATTCTGGACCGGGTTTACTGACAGCTGGTTGTATTAAATCATCGCTGTATTGGCACTGACTGACGGCACTTCGTGCACGGACTGTTGAATTCTCGTTTAATTTATTGTGTTAATTTCACTATTGTTTAAAATGTAAACAAAATCTTATCTCGAGTACGTACAGTGTAGCAGTCGCTATCGTGTGCCACGATAGTCCCGGGACACGATAGGCCTCGGTGTAATTTTACATGCAAAATTAACGGTTATATTTGTCATAAACAATCGTGGTCAAAACGATATACTGCCACGATGTTATGAATGTTGAATATTTTCGTTAATAATACGGACACGTTAGGTAAAGTTGTATAGTAAGAACATGCGTGTTTACATATTCGGCACGATATATGCGGTTACATTTCCAACCAGTCATGTAAAGCTGCATGTCTAGTACATTTTGAAGGACAAGTATGCATAAGACTATACATGTTTAGAGTGCATAGTTAAGAATTACTCTCGAATCACGGCAAAGATAGACTTTAAAATTGCAAACAGTATTTAGGTTACCGGTCTTACAAATAGAAATTAGACAAATAGAACTTGCAACGGGAGTCGAAAGCGCTTTCAAATTAGACATAAGAAGCTTGTACTTACTGCAAAAATGAAATGAACGCGACACAAGTCTCCGATGTGAGAGAATATTAGTAAAGTATAACCGCTATCAAATCCACACAAAAATCCAAGGCACTCATTTTATTTTAGGAAAGAATAACTGTAGACTCGATAGAAGAGCCTATTCTACATGAACCCCAAATCAATGGTAACTGTCAACTTGTATGTTGTCATTCTCGTGCAGACTTGTTTGAATAACAGAAATGTTCCGTGAATCAAAGATCAGAGAATAAAACCGCACGTAGCCACTCTTTGTTGTTTTTATGCGAATTCAATTTATCTAAAAGGGGCTTCGGCGCAATTTAAGGGATTATTTTTGACCCAATATTAACCATAGCCAATTTTTTAAATCATGGGATAAAGTCAATTAACAAACAATACGGGTCTACTTTATTACAAAAACATTGGTGAACTTACCATTTTGTCTAAAATCATAACGCTAATCAACAAACAATACTATTGTTCTTTATTACAAAAACATCGGTGAACTATATTGTTTTTGTACATATTGTATTTATTTATTTGTTTGTACTATATGTTATACCTGATGAGTCTTTGGCTTAAAGGAATAAAGAATTTGAACTTGAACTAATCGCTGTCGGGATGGCGAGCCAAGCTAGTTGATTATTAGGTAAATAAAACAATATAAACATCCAATGAGTAAAACTGATCTATTCTAATCAATTAAATAATATACAAGTCAAGTACCACTATTACATTAACCGTGGACGGGTTTGCTTGTGGACGGGTTAACGGACACTCAACTTACAAATATTAAATCATCGCCGTATTGGCACTGACTGACGGCACTTCGTGCACGGGCTGTTGAATTCTCGTTTAATTTATTGTGTTAATTTCACTATTGTTTAAAATGTAAACAAAATCTTATCTCGAGTACGTAGTACCGTATATCGAGCTAGTCTAGTAAGTAGTAGGCTAGGTTAATCCAGACTAAAACGAAAGTCCTTTTATTGTATTAATAACATTGGCTTCTGGTAGACTCGATTGTCATCTAAGGGATTATATTTTCTTTGCGCGGTCTATTTATTGTTATCATTAACACAAAATGCCAATTAATGAAGTGTGCGAAAAAGTCTTTATACAATAGATAATCTTTGTAATAAAGTAAAGTATTTTCCCCCTTATATATACTGTTTGTTGTTTTTTCGAGTTTTAGGCCATTATTACTTATTTTATGCATATTTTTGGTATGAACTTTTTTGGACCAGTAAAATCTCATTCGGTCCAGTAATAGTTGGAATAATACCTGCCCAAATGTCCAGTAAAAAAAACGAATGTGTTTCGGGTGCATGGTTGGTTGAGATATTAAATTATCCAGTCGACGCATGCGTTGTAGCTCGAAATACCCCTTTTCACTGGATTATCACTATTTTTCGGATTGAGAGAATTCAATTCCGGAACTTTCAATCGAGTAGCGCCATAAACATTTATCTTGTCAAGTTGTTTATTGGAATGCATCATGTTGTGATTGCCACTAACATTTATCAGAGTTTGATACTTGATTATTGAGCCTACTGGGGAAAAATATTTAATGTGACTGTTTTTATTACTTGAAATAAAAAAAGGTTTTGCTGACCATTTAAAGTGATGCAGGTTATTATGGGTTTTTTTTAATCAACAGGTAATTTCTAAAGGCAAGGTCATATCTAGTGTCAACCTTGACCCTACACAATCTGAACAGTCTATGACCTTTACACCTAATAGTGCAATGTCGCCATTGGCAAAGTTGGTTGTCTATGCAGTCACAGATGATAAAGCCCACGAACTATTAGTAGATGTTTATGATGTAGTAATCAGTAATGGAATGAAGAATAAGGTAAATAGTTTTTTTTACACACCTCCAGACTGTATCTCGCATAGCAACTATTGATACTTACACACCTCCAGACTATATCTCCCATAGCAACTACAGATGTTTACACACCTCCAGACCATATCTCCCATAACAACTACAGATGTTTACACACCTCCAGACTATATCTCCCATAACAACTACAGATGTTTACACACCTCCAGACCATATCTCCCATAACAACTACAGATGTTTACACACCTCCAGACTATATCTCCCATAACAACTACAGATGTTTACACACCTCCAGACTATAAGCAACTATTGAGTATTGATGTTTGCCCACCTCCAGACTATATCTCCCATAGGAACTATTGATGCTTACACACCTCCAGACTATATCTCCCATAGCAACTATTGATGCTTACACACCTCCAGACTATATCTCCCATAGGAACTATTGATGCTTACACACCTCCAGACTATATCCCCCATAGCAACTACTGATGTTTACACACCTCTAGACTATATCCCCTATAGCAACTACTGATGTTTAGACACCTCAAGACTATATCTGCCATAGCAACTATTGAGTATTGATGTTTACCCACCTCCAGACTATATCTCCCATAACGACTATTGATGTTTTAAAGATGGCTATTCCCCGTATCAACCTAAGGTAAAGTTATTAGGGTTTGATATTGGCGTGATATTAACCTCCATTGAGCAGTCTTTAAGCTATCACATTTTTTTATTCTTCCGTACATAAAGGAATTATTATAAATGATTAAGATTTGATATGTCTTTATGTGTTTTCATCCATTCAAAAATTGTGTATGGTTAAACATTGAACATTAGTGGTGAATAAAAAGGACTACCCAATCTCTTGTAGATCACTAGGCCTGTGATTGATTATAGTGCTGTGTCGGGAATTAAAACTGCATCTCCATCAATTATTGGTATCGTCATCATCATCATCTTGATTTTAACCTAATTATAATTTCAGGTATCTTTGACATTTTCCAAGGCTAAGGAACGAGCAGGAAACGATATAGATCTTTCTGTTACGTGTGATGCCAATTCTGATGTTTACGTATTAGGTGTCGATATGAGTGTTTCATTACTTGCAGAAGGCAATGACATCACGCAAGGATCAGTAAGTTATTTACTGCTATTGATGTTTACCCACTTCCAGACTGTATCTCCCATAGCAACTATTGATGTTTACACACTTCCAGACTATATCTCCCATAGCAACTATTGATGTTTACACACTTCCAGACTATATCTCCCATAGCAACTGTTGTTGTTTATACACTTTATATAGCAACTATAGATGTTTACAACACTTCCAGACTATATCTCCCATAGCAACTATTGATGTTTACATGAGATATTGTAAACTTTCTCTGTGTCCGTCAATCAGTATCACAACGTGTTTTTGACATGATTATGTTTTAATTATCTAATTGATGCTTGTACCGTGACAGCTCAATCAGGAGATCGCAGGTTCGCTTCCTAGGATTGACCAGGCCTCTGGCAAGGATAAAAGCGTCTATTTATTCAGAGGGCACATTTTTTTTTTTTTTTCGTGCCTCTGTGTGTGAAATAGAAGTTTTACATTTCGCAGGCAAAACAATTCTCCCAGTATCGAACAATTGCTTTGTCTGCGATATATCACCTAAGTGGAAGCAGACGTAAAACTTCTATTTCGAGGTGCACGAAAAAAAGGTGAAACTATGTACACGTTGACATGCTCGTAAACGAATCATGAACTGTTTGGTTTCTGTAAAGAGTAGGTAGACAGGTTGCTGTCCAATCAAAATTTCCCTTCTGGCTCACTACATGGTTGACTCCTGTCTTGTGTGAAATAGCTTTATTTAACGCTTTCACCAAGGTGATATCGCAGACAAAACTCCTCTCTTCATTATTAACACCTCTTGTACTCAAAAGTAGAGTGTTAAAACCCATTTCATTTTCTTTACTTTCTAACTGATGCTCTTGGGTCTTGGCTGTTGGAATATGTCTTTAAATGGATGGACATGTCTTTAAATGAATGTTGAATGGTTAGCACATATGCATTGTATCACAAGGTCTGTCATTGAGTCAACTGGCGTGGTTTGGATTCCCCGGTTGTATGTGGGTTTTCTCCGGGTCCTCGGATTTCCTCCCACTGCTAAAGACCCCTACGCGCAAGCAAAGTATTGAAATAAAATTGAACCATGTGGTAGTCCCGAAATGACCTAGAATCAGGTTTAATGTCTGCTTCCATCAGAGTTATATCACAGACAAACCCTATAGTCTACATTTCTCTCTCTCTCTCTCTCTCTCTCTCTCTCTCTGGTTAGATCAAATGTTGATTTTATTCAGAAGTGATACCCAATTCTCTTCTTCTGTCTCCTCAACAGGTGGCAGACCGCTTCAGTGTATTCACTGGCGAAGACAAAAAACAAGATAATTCTGATGGTCATCCTGACATAATGTTCCGAAGAAAAAGAATGGTGCTGCCCAACGATTATGGTAGCGTAAATGCTGCTCATCTTCTAAAGGTAGGCAGTTAATATAGTCTTCTTAATAAAGATACATGTACAACCCATCCAAAAAAATAATGGATGCAAGGTCCAACATTTTTGTTCACATTTAATTTTTGTGGTCATAATACCTGGTAAATATTAAAAAAATAGGTGAACTAGAGTATGTCTGGTGGTAAATTAAATAATTGATTAAAGGAGTGAGGTCATAATATATAAGCCATGCCGGGGGTTGGATGGCCGTATGGTTAGCACGTGCGAGCTGTATCATAAGGCCTTTCATTGAGTCAACTCATGTGGTTTCAATTCCCCAGTTGTACTTGACAAGGAGTAGGGTCGCCCGTCCAACCTCATGGGTTTTCTCCAGGTCTGCCGGTTTCCTCCCACTGCTAAAGACCCCTACGCGCAAGTGAATTATTGAAATAAAATTGAACCATATGTTAGTCCCGAAATGACCTAGTTTGTGTCGAGTGGACATTGAACCCAATTTCTCTCTCTGTCTCTCATATAGACCATGTCTGTTCCCCATTCCCATTCAATTTCTGATTAAAATATTGTTTAAAAACAAAAGGAAATGCCTCCTTATTGAAAAATCTCCATCACCATAGTTATCATGCTTCCATCCGAGGGCTTTCAGTTCCAATTTTTGGCTGATAGCCAGTTTATGATGAAGTTTAAAGTAAAAAAATATTTCTTCTAAACAAAACTTTTAACCGAAATCCAAGTTCATTTTACCCCTAAATGTCCCTATAAATAGGTCAACTGTGTTTAAAGGATTAGGTAATTTGAAATTATACTTTTATAACATGTGAATTGAATGACAGGTATATTCTCCTCCTAAAACAATTACAGTAAACATCGCATAAGTCTGATCTAAGTCGACTGACCAATTTTATCCGAGTTAAGCAAAGATCAGAGTTAGACAAAGACCGAAATTCAATCTTAGCTCGATTAGAAATAAACTGCAAGAGTCAGATAATAATTGATTCAAAGGCACATTTCAAGCTTTTGTTCGTATGTGCGAGTAGATAACTTCCGTTTTGGTGCAAGTAGATAACTTCCGTTTTGTCGCATCTTTGAAAAATGTCCTAAATTTTCACGGAAAGTGTCTTGAACAGCAGGCAGCGAGTTTCTGTGAAAATTCTATTATTGTGTCGCGTTGAATACCTAACCGCACGTTTTAGACCAGCGGGACGAAAGTGAAAGTCAAATTCTGAACATACTGCCGATCCGACTTAGGCGAAGGAAAAAGGCTGGAATGAGATTAAATGGCTGAACATTTTGATACGAGTTGAGCAAAGATCCGACTTACGCACAGAAATTTAATAAGAAAAACGTGCAGGATCAAAGGGTCCAAATGAATTTATCTGAGTTGAGCGAAGATCCGACTTATGCAAGGTTTACTGTATTTCACATTTCTGAGTTCAATACAAACGAAACTAGTCACCGAACATTGGGATAACTGGAAGAATCGCCCATACTTATTCACTCTAAGTATAATGTTTCCTAATGTAATGTATAATGTAAAACATGTAGCATTGTTTAATTGGAGATTACAACCTCATCGCTATTCAAGGTTTTCGATCCCCAATCATGAAGTCATCCATCCGTTAATGTTCAACTTTAACCCTTTGAACCTTGAAAATATTTTGGGTGCCGTATTCCCTACCCTGACTTAACAGCACGATTTTTTAAAAATGACGTCATTTTAATTGGAACTAAATGTTGGGTGTAAAATTAATATAATATGTGTTTATTATTGTGTGAAATGATGAAACCAAGATGTTTAGCCAGAAAATTAAATTTTTACTCAATTTTATCTCCAATCCATTACCTTGGAATGCCAATCATGGCAACAGTTTTTAACTCTGCTAATATCGCAACCATACCCTATTCCAAAATTTCTATCACTGGCCACGTAGATCGACATTATTTACAAATTGATTCCGAGTACGAGTGTTATCATCGCTGTCATTTTCTTTATTATTTAGTCTGAATCTAGGGCATATTCACTTTCAAAATCACTTTCATTGCCGTAATTCGACCCATCAATATCTTCACCATTATCGCTCCTTATAAGAGCTAGCGCTCCGTTGCATTTAGACATTTAGAACACACAATTCAAGCTACGAGATTATCAAGCGTTGATATATTGATTTTGTTTTCGAAGTGGAATGTTAAATATTTTAGCAAAAATGCAGTTCACTCATCGAGTCTTTAACTATCAGTATGTTTATATTTTAAGACTCCATGATTGTCTAGTTCAAAATATTACAAGCAGACATTCTTATTTGTCATGGGGCGGGTTCGAATGGTTTCGACCCCTGCTTGTATATGATGAGGGGGAGGGTTTGCCTGTCCAACCTTGTGTGTTTTCACTGGGTCCTCCGTTTATATTATCTTCTGTTTCCAATGTAGAAGCATGTGCAGCTATATTTTGATTGTTCTTAATTAAAAAGAAAAACCCAACTCTTGAGATTTAGTTACCCTCTTAACCTTAAGTTATCTCCCTTGAAGTGATTTATCTCCCTTGGAGGGGATGTGGGTGTGGGGCTATATATTATACAGAGATTAGATACTTGAAGAATTATTTCTACTCCTGATTTTGGTTCACAAACATTACCAGGGGTGGCCGAGTACATTTTAAGTCATGCGCACAGTCAAAGATCCCAGGCTTGATATGACAAGTGGTAGGGTCGTCTGACTAACCTTGTGGACTTAAAATTTAAGAGAAAAATTTAAAATGATTTAATCCATAAACCTTAAACAGGGTTCAAGGTTGGTGTTTTTATCTGATATAAATATCGCTGAGTTAGAACAACAATTTTTGCCTGAAATGGTGGACGACCAAATAGCAATGGCTCGCCCAAATGATAATGTTCCAGTTGCTTCACCGGATGGTATGTTAGGGGAAATAACTCTGAACATTTGTTAAAACTTGATTGACTTTTTTCTGTAGATTTGTGTCTCTCTTAATGATGTAACATAATTCTTTATTACTTCAAATCCTTTTCTAATAACTTGATTTAACGTTAGGTGAGGGTGTCTGTATTTATTTTATAATAATTGAAAACCTTTCACTATTGGTCCTACTCCTGCCCTGTCTTCGATTCCACACCACTTTGAAATCTGGCTTACATCAGTGATTTAGAATCTGAAGAAGATATATTTAAGATAAAAATTTAAATTGACTTCATCCATCAACAGGGTGCAGGGTTAGTGTCTTTATCAGATATTAATATCTTTGTCGAGGAAATCCAACATCGTTGGGTGCTTGAAGATGGTGATGACAAAATGATACCAATGGCTGGCATAAATGAGTTTGTTCCAGCTGCCCGAGAACCAGATGGTATGATAAGGGGAAATAAGTCTAAATATTTGTCAAAACTTGATTGACTTTCTCCATATACTAATAATGTAGTAACGCAATTCTTTATTAGTTGAAATCCTTTTCTAGGTGAGGGTGTCGATATTTATTTTTATACGCCCACATTGAAATATTGTCATCGCCCCCGTCCGTCCGTCCGTCCGTCCGTCCGTCTGTCTGTCCGTAATTGCTTGTGGATGCTCTAGAGGCCAAAGTTAATATCCGATTGACTTTCAATTTATACACAGTGTTTAAGGTCATGAGACGAAGAAGCCTATTGATTTTCAGGGATTTCCGATAATTACTGCCAGAGTTATGACCCTTGATCACTTCAAAAAATCTTGTGGATGCTCTTGAGGCTCAAGTTAATATCCGATTGAGTTTAAATTTATACACAGTGTTTGAGGTCATGAGACGAAGATTCCTATTGATTTTCAACTATTTCTGATAATTACTGCCAAAGTTATAGCCCTTAAGTTATCATCTGATTGACTTCAGATTAATACACAGAGTTTAAGATCTTGAGACGAACAAGTATATTGATTTTCAATGATATTAAAAACTTTGCATACAAAACGTTAGCATGGGGCAGAACTTTATAAAAACCAAACAAATTCTAATAGTTTTCTGATAATTACTTTGTGAGTTGTTGCTCTTAATCAGATTTTAGTGTATTATAAATGTTTCATTACCGAAAAAAGTAAAAATATGCGACAACCCTTGTTGACTGCCCCGACGATTTAGTTGCTGTGGGCGTATGTTTCGTTGCCTGGCAACCTATCTTTTGATAATTCAAAACCTTCGACTGTTGGTCCAGTCCTGTCTCCCATTCCACACCACTTTAAAACCTGGTTTACTTAAGTGATTTATAATCTACAGAAAAAACATTTAGGACAAAAATTTATAATGACTTCATCCATCAACAGGGTGCGGGGTTAGTTTCTATGTCGGATATAAAAATCTTTGAAGAACTCCAAAGCTTTTGGAGGCCTCAACTTGTAGATATGGTTGGCATAAATGAAATGGCTCCAGCTAATCGACAACCCGATGGTATGTATGGGGAAATAACTGCGAACATTTATCAAAACTTTTTCGGCTTTCTTATATGGAGTTTTGCGTCTTTCACTTTGTGATATATAATACAACAGTTCTTTATTACTTTCAAGTTCTGATGATTAGATGTAACCTTAACACCCTTTTCTGTACGCTATCCCTTTATTATTCTGACAGTAATAATGTTACAATCCAACACAAGGGCAAGGCATCCCAGTTGACACAAACATGGATACTGGCACATCAATCTAAACGACCAGTTCACAATCTCTGTATAACCCAACTAAGCGAACTACCGATCCTATCCAGGTAACAGTATCCACATTCATTTTACATTGAAAGGAACATGCTTATTTCTCCTTCTTTTTATGGAAGAAACGTGTGAACAATTGAAGACAATTTAACAGTTATCGAGGTAAACACTGGATATACATTGAATACATTGGATATACATTGAATACATTGAATACATTGGATATATACATTGAATACATTGGATATACATTGAATACATTGGATATAAATCGAGATAAACATTTAAATATACATTGAGATATGCATGGGATATACATCAAAATATACATGGGATATACATCGAGATGTGCATTGGATATACATTAGATATACATTGAGATATGCATGGGATATACATTGCAATATACATTGGATATAAATCTAGACATACATTGGATATACATCATGATATATTGATATGCTAGTAATTTCACTGAGATATACAAATGAATATACATGAAGTTTTATCAGCATATATACATAGTTTTATCCGCATATACACATAGATTTATCATGATATACATGCATATTTATTATGATATACACATAGATTTATCATGATATACACAGTATTCATATATAGGTATCATGGTATAAATGTAGTTTCATCAGCTTATATACAGTTTTATCAGGTATACCTATAAGGATACACATAGTTTTATTACGATATATTTGTATAGGTATCATGATATAAATGTAGTTTCATCAGAAATACAGTTTTATCAGGTATATTTATAAGGATACACATAGTTTTATTACGATATATTTGTATAGGTATCATGATATAAATGTAGTTTTATCAGCGTATATACAGTTTTATTATGATATATTTGTATAGGTATCATGATATAAATGTAGTTTTATCAGCGTATATACAGTTTTATTACGATATATTTGTATAGGTATCATGATATAAATGTAGTTTTATCAGCGTATATACAGTTTTATTATGATATATTTGTATAGGTATCATGATATAAATGTAGTTTTATCAGCGTATATACAGTTTTATTATGATATATTTGTATAGGTATCATGATATAAATGTAGTTTTATCAGCGTATATACAGTTTTATTATGATATATTTGTATAGGTATCAAGATCTACATGTAGTTTCAACCGGATATGCACAGTTTTATCAAGATAGACATATAGTTTTATTGTGATATGTATGTGCTTTTATCAAGATATGTATTGAGATATACATAGATTTTTATCAATATGTACATCAATGTATAATTTTTTATCGTGATATGCATATGTACATTGTGATATTCATTAGCTTGATTTGTTAGTGTCTTTTGAGGGTTTTATTTGGGGGGGGGGGGGCTAGCTAATGTTTATTTATATTGCAGGTTTTCATGACTTAATTGCAATTTAAGAAAACAGCCTGTTTTTCAGATATATCCTATTGGTTAACTGTACATGTCTTTAGTTAATATAATTAAATGTGTACCGTAATAAAATTAACACGGTTTGGGAGGGGGTGGTGGTGGATGGCCAAATAGTTAGCGTGTATGTGTTGTATTATAAGGTCTTCATTGGGTCAACTGTCATGGTTTCGATTCCCCAGTTCTATGTGACAAGGAGTTGGGTCGCCTGTCCAACCTTATGGGTTTTCTCCAGGGCCTCCAATTTCCACCTACTGCTAAAGACCTCTAAGCACAAGCAAATTATTGAAATAAAATTGAACCATATGTTAGTCCCGAAATGACCTAGTTTGTGTCGAGTGGACTTTAAACTGCATTTCTCTCTTTCTGTTAACAGGCTTCAGGATTAACATACGTAACTGATTTAATGGTGCAATATCCTGTTCCCAAAAGAAAATACAAACATTTTTTCAGAACAATGGCGTGTACCATAGTGCGTTTCAGTGTCATTTGTAACAAGTGACCGGGAAGAACGAGGCTAAACATATTGCACAACTCATGTTAAATGGTGATGCCATATCTCATCTGGAGAGCATACACAAAAGACTGGAATAACCAGACGCTAAAAATTGCCAGTCGGTTGAGACTCATGCCGTATTTCGCTGGACATAACTGATTTGAAATTAAAGTCAAAAGGGAAACAATTGAATGTAAATCAGTTTAAATACAATCAGATTACATTATTATATGCGTTGCGACCCATTTGGGTCAATTTCTAGGTCCCAAATATTAGCGATTTATCTCCTTTACGTCTGATAATGCTTTGTGAACTCTGGACCTCTACTAATAACCTCTAACTTTACCTCCCAAAATGGGAATACCCTCTAACCCACACTATTTCTATATTTCATTAACAGGGTGCTGGACTAGTCTATATAACTGATACAAATCTAATCGAAATACAACAAATTATGTTCCCCATCAATGAAGTCTTCGCTGATGGAGGAGTGATGGACGATTTCGCTGATGGAGAAATAATGTTTAAAGGTGATCAGGAAATACAAAGGGGTATGTGATACTTTTAGCATTAAGGTCTCTATCCCCACCTTTTACTGGTCTTAATATTGATCCTGCACTATGTTTAATTCATCTAGTGTTTCTAACAAATACTTTCACTAACTCTGTGGGTTTGGGTGTTCTAATTGTCTAACTCTGTGGGTTTGTGTGTTCCAATAGTCTAACTCTCTAACTCTGTGGGTTTGTGTGTTCCAATAGTCTAACTCTGTGGGTTTGTGTGTTCCAATAGTCTAACTCTGTGGGTTTGTGTGTTCCAATAGTCTAACTCTGTGGGTTTGTGTGTTCTAACACTTTACTGATCATCAGAGGTTGTAACAATTCACTGCACTTTGAGTTCGAGTGTAGTCTTTAATACTGAGTCGAATCGGGTCCCAAGTCTGTGCACCTTGAGATCTAGTTGAGTCCCAAGTCGCTTACTAGTACAGAGTCAAGTCGAGTTCCAAGTTACTAGTACCAGTATGTGTCACAATGGTAGTTTTTGTCACTTGGTGGTACCAGTATCTATCACAATGGTAGTTTCTGTATATGTCACATGGTAATACCAGTATCTATCACAATGGTAGTTTCTGTATATGTCACATGGTAATACCAGTATCTGTCACAATGGTAGTTTCTGTATATGTCACATGGTGGTACCAGTATCTGTCACAATGGTAGTTTTTGTCACTTGGTGGTACCAGTATCTGTCACAATGGTAGTATCATTTTATATTACCAGGTAGTATCAGTATCGGTTACATGATGATAACAGGTTAATGTTAGTTGATCGTATCAGTTTCTGTATTTGTTTAATCCTGGGGGTTTGGATGGCCGAATGGTTAGCACGCACGCGCTGTATCATACAGTCTGTCATTGAGTCAACTGGCGGGGTTTCGATTCCCCCGTTGTACGTGACAAGGAGCAGGGTCACCTGTCCAACCTTGTGGATTTTCTCTGGGTCCTCCGGTTTCCTCCCACTACTAAAGACTCCTATGCTCATGCGAATTATTGAAATAAAATTGAACCATGTGTTAGTCCCGAAATGACCTAGTGAACGTTAAACCCCATTTCTCACTCACTCTCTTGTTTAACCCTGTGTTTAATGTAAACAAATACAGAATAAATGTGAAAGGATCATATGAATAAACTGAAAGTAGTTTTGATACATTTTATTTAAAGACATATCAGGTCAAGGTTACCAGATTGTGTCCTGTATTTTTTTTTGATTGTGGTTAACCATGTCTTCAATTTAATTTTAATCATAACTCGGGAAATTGAACGGTCCAACTAATTATTGAAAGTCGTGAAAATTATGCGGGACGCTTATAATTACACACATGTCGACAAACTAAACACTAGTTAATTAACGCTTGGTAATCAAAATTGCACGTTGAGATTTAAGTTGTATACAAGGACAAATTGAATGCTATTAGGCCAAATTCAATGATATTTATGAATAATTCTACGTAGATTAGATAATAATGCTATTTACCCGAGATTCCACGGTACCAGTCGTATAGTGTCAATTGACTATAGAGTTTGATTTTAGATGCCAGACATACAAGCCTGGACATAAGACACCTTTCACAGACTTTGTCATTCACAAATTATCTTATCATAATATATACTTTATGTGATAATTTGCGGCTGACAAAGTCTAGGGTGCTGGATGGCCAAATGATTAGCATGTGCACGCTGTATCATAAGGTCTGTCATTGAGTCGACTGGCGTGGTTTCGATTCCCAGGTTGTAAATGATAAGAAGTAGGGTCGCCTGTCCGAGCTTGTGGGTTTTCTGTGGGTTCTCCGGTTTCCTCCGGTTTCCTCCTACTGCTAAAGACCCCTACATGCACGCAAATTGTTGAAATACAATTGAACCATATGTTAGTCCAGAAATGACCTAGTTTATGTCAAGTGGACGTTAAACCCATCTCTCTCTCTCTCTCTCTCTCTCTCAGGCTTGCAATCATAAAAGTTTTAAGTACCCATTTGATAAAACTATAGTTTTCACATGTTGCAGAAAGTACACACTGATTAGACGTCTTTTATGTCCATCTAACTCAAATTGATTACCCTAATATTCAGCAAATTTATTGACACCGATTTATAGAGTTCCATATAAGAGTAAGCAAGCACACTAAATGCTGTCCCGTGGCTTCTCCTTTAGATGAAATTTATCTTGGGCGCTTCCCTGCAAAGACATTGTGTCTTACCCAAAAAGCTGGATCAAGCCTATTTTGTGGCTTCCTCTTGCAAGTTTCTTAGGAAGCACTTGTCTACAATATCACCCTTGGTGGAAATGCACATAAAACTCCAGGAAGGAACGAATGAACTAAATGCTGCATTCCTGTCTTCATTACCTCATTCGTTAAAGGGACAATAACACTCTTGCAGGCTTGACAGCTCCAGAAAATAAATAATAGCCTTATTCTAAGTACTAGATGTTTAAGTGTCCTAACTGTTGTGTAAATTATCTATTAAATCCTATTTTACTTGTCCAGAGGGTTCGAAAATATTTTTAAATCCAAGTCACATTTGAAAAGGTTTATGTCAGGCTTTTCAAATCATTTAGTTGAATTTTTCCAATTTTTTAAATTAGGTGTGTTAAGATGAAATTTGTATCATCAATTAGGGGTCATACAAGCACCCTTTGTCCCTATAAAGGCAGAAATTTGATTAACTAATCAGCGTTGATGTTTCTAGTGGGTTACCCTCCGCTCCGTGCACGTCACAGAAAAAACTTGTCGTAAGAGATTGTGTCATTGGCTAATCCCTCACATCATCCAGAACACGTCAATGATAACAACTCTTCCAGATCCTAGTGTAGTAAAGACAAGTAAATCAAAATTTCGAACTATAAAAAACAAAACAAAATTGATCTGTGTTGTAATCAGATCGACGCGCAAGCAAGTTATTAAAATTGTACCATATGTTAGTCCTGAAATGACCTGATTTTTGACCACTCTCGCCCCTCTCTATTTTAACCATCTATCTCCATCTTTATTTTGACCTCTCTATCTCCATCTATATTTTGACCTCTCTATCTCCATCTTTATTTTGACCTTTCGATCCCTGCATTGGCCGAGAAAGTTCATCCAGATTTTCCGGCGTGGTTCTCCCTTGTCAGAGATGCAGGACGGAGGGGCTGACAAGGAAAGCTGTCTAGTCGTTCGGATGGGATGGAAAACCGAGGTCCCATGTACACATTGGCATGCACGTAAAAGATCCCTTGGCAGTTGGAATTCGATATAAGAGCAGGCCGTAGTGCCGCTGTCCGGGCAAAATTTCCCTCATAGCACACTATATGGCGTATACTCCATTTCATTTCTATTTTGACCTCTCTATCTCCATCTTTATTTTGACCTCTCTATCTCCATCTCTATTTCGACCTCTTGACATATCTCTTGTCCTCTCCTAATCTCGATAGACCTGTCTTAATCTCTAACCCACACTTTTCTATATTTTATTAACAGAGTGCTGGACTAGTCTATATAACTGATACAAATCTAATCGAAATACAACAAAATATATTCCCTGTGTTCAATGCCGCTTTCGAAGGGGAAGGTGTAGTAATGTTTAAAGGTCAACCAGACATTCAAATGGGTATGTGATACTTTTAGCACTAGGTTATAGGGTAGAATGCTCTATATCCGTATTTCCGACACCTGCTTGAAATGGAACAATATATGTTCTTTGCATCACTAGTTTATCTGCCCTATATACCTGGTCTACTTTAATTATCTTTGTTTGGATCCTGGTGTTATATTACATGCCTCTGGCATATTGCATGGGTTATATTACATGGGTCTAGGTTATATTGCCTGGGTTATATTGCATGCATTAATATTACATACATGTAGGTATAAGTTATATTGCATGGCTCTGGGTTATATTACATGGTCTAGGTTATATTGCATGGGTTATATTACATAGATACAGGTTATATTGCATGGGTTATATTACATAGATACAGGTTATATTGCATGGGTTATATTACATAGATACAGGTTATATTGCATGGGTTATATTACATAGATACAGGTTATATCGCATTTGTTATATTACATAGATACAGGTTGTATTGCATGGGTTATATTACATAGATATAGGTTATATTGCATGGGTTATATTACATAGATACAGGTTATATTGCATGGGTTATATTACATAGATACAGGGAGTGGGGTCGCCTGTCCAATCTCGTGGGTTTTCTCCGGGTCCTCCGGTTTCCTCCCACTGCTAAAGACCCCTATGCGCAAGCGAATGATTGAAATAAAATTGAACCATGTGTTAGTCCCGAAATGACCTAGTTTGTGTCGAGTGGACGTTAAACCCATTTCTCTCTCTCTCTCTCTCTCTCATTTCCTGATCCCACCAACAAGCCTGATCACCCTAACAGGCATGATCCCACCAACAGCTTGATCTCGGCAATAGCCTGATCCCACCAACAAGTCTGATCCCACCAACAAGCCTAATCCCACCAACAGGCTGGATCTCCCCAACAAGCCAGTACTGGGGTACTAGAGCAGTAATGACAAAGAGACGGGACTGGTAGGGTACTAAAGCAGTAAGGACACTGTGACTGGACTGTTGAGTACTACTAGAGCAGTAAGGACACTGTAACTGAATTGGAGTGCCAGAGCAGTAAGGACAATTCTGTGACTGGTCTGGACTGGTGGGTGCTAGAGCAGTAAGGACAATTCTTGACAACTGCAGTGCTAGAGCAGTATTCTGCGACTGGACTATTAACTAGAATGTCCCGGAAATGAAATTTTGGATTTGATACATGCCCTTTCAATTGTAATTGTAAGAATGTTTACTTGGAACCCACAACTTTTGTATCCACATGGAATCTTGTGCATGTTCTTTGTAAATCTATAATATATTAACCCTACTAATTCTATACCTCAAACTTTCTTCTGTCTGTTACATGTGCTTGTCATCATGAGATTAAAAAAAAAGAAATGTAAAAAAGACATAGCCACATATTGCTACCGACTTGTCTTAAAGGGCATATAATATACAGTAGACTGTCAGTATAACATGGTTCGCTATAAAGCTGGCCTCAGTGTTATAGTGAAACCTTTGTGTATGATGATAATATACATGTCTTTGTTTTAGCAAAGCACTTATGTAAGGGCCCCAGTATAAGATGGGTGTAGTCATCCACTGCACACTCATAGGGCTCTGCTATACCACTGGTGTCATCATGCTGTGGACACCCAAAAGTAGAATATATATTCTTTTTATTACTATTTTATAGTGGCAAGCACCTGTATTTGTTTTCTCTCATTTAGCAGTTTATTTTGTAGTATTTTCAGGCTTTAACTGCTTTTAACTTACTAATGCATTCTGTTTTATTAATCCTTTATTGCATAAATCTTTAAAAATTCATTTTACCAGAAACTGTTCATTAGTTAAATTGTATAAATAATTTTACCAGAAAACTTTTATTTGATAAATTGTTAGTTAATTTTACCAGAAAACTTTCATTTGATCAATGTTTTAAATCTTTTTCATTGTTATGTGTTTGATATCTAAAAGATGAGCTTTTTAAAATATATATTTAGATTGTATTCATATTCTTGTATTGTGATGATTTTATATTTATACTTTTGAATAGCATCTGGAGTTGGAGGAGCCGTAGAGAAAGAATTGTCACCTATAACACATGTTCGTAAATTCTTCCCCGAGACCTGGCTGTGGGAGAATGGCCCTTCAGGGTAAGAATTTTATGCATAATATTTAAAATACACCAAAAGATTGTTAGCTATGCAAGCTCCTCAAATAAGATAGGCCATGGTGGTTTAGTGGGTAAGCCATTGGCTCCCTAACCTGACGGTCCTTTGTTCGATCGCTGTGTTGATCGAGAAAGTTCATCTGGATTTTTTTGCAGTGGTTCCTTCTTGTCTGTGATTGAGTCGACTGGCGTGGTTTCGAATCCCCGGTTGTACGTGACAAGGAGTAAGGGCGCCTGTCCAACCTCGTGGGTTTTCTCTGGTTCCTCCGGTTTCCTCCCACTGCTAAAGACCCCTACGCGCAAGCAAATTATTGAAATAAAATTAAACCATATGTTAGTCCTGAAATGACCTAGTTTGTGTCGAGTGGACGTTAAACCCCATTTTTCTCTCTCTCTATCTTGTCTGTGGTCCAGAACGGAGAGTCTTGCAAGGGACAAAATATAGATTCGTGAGCTAGCACCCTACTACTGAAAGTGGGGTTTGGGTGGCCGAACAGTTAGGGCATGCACGTTGTATCATTAGGCCTGTCATTGAGTCAACTGGCATGGTTTCAATTCCCCAGTTGTACGTGACAAGGAGTAGGGTCGCCTGTCCAACTTCACAGGTTGTCTCCGGGTTCTCCAGTTTCCTCCTGCTAAAGACCCCTACATGCAAGCAAATTATTGATATACAATTGAACCATATGTAAGTCCCGAAATGACTTAGTTTGTGTCGAGTGGATGTTAAACCCCATCTGTCTGTCTCTTTCTCTCTCCTTACTAATGAAATAATGATTATGAATTATTATTTTTATTGTTTTCAGTGCATCTGGTGAGTACAAGATCACAAGTAAAGTTCCTGATACCATAACCACATGGCATGCTACTGCTTTCTCCATCAGTCCTGTCAATGGCTTGGGCATCACATCACAACCTGCTGAGGTAAATATTCTACACATGAAATTAATTACTCAATACCATGTGCTGGACATGACATAAAATTGTGACGGACAACGTCTGATTCTGACCGCTTCTCGTATAAAAAGATAACTATGATTATACGATCGTAAGGTGGTGCAATCTGTTTAAAACACAGATCCTATTTCGTTTCGTTTTTTATACTTCAAAATTTTGTTTCACTTGTCTTTACTACACTAGGATCTGGAAAAGTTGTTATCATTGACATGTTCTGAATAGTGTGAGGTATTAGCCAATGAAATGGTCTGTTATGGCAAGTTTTAGGCGTGTTTTGCACGGAACTGTGGGTAATCCACTAGTAACACTAATGCTGATTGATTGATCAAATGTCTGACGTCATAGGCTCACTTGCCGCTCGTATGACCTGACGTGACCTATCGCAACAACCAATCAGATCTTCATGTAGTGTAGGCCATCGAAAGTATAAAAAGCAAAATGAAATATAGATCTGTATTTTAATCAGATTGAAGGTGGGGATAAAACAGAACCTGTGGAAGTCAACAGCAAGTTTTCGCTTCATGATATGACCGATTAACCTCTTTATGTCATGGTAGTGGCGACCTTAAGCAGCCCTATTTTTGTCCTAGTAAATAGGCAATCACAATGACCCAAGAAGGTATAGTCATTATGTGGGGTTCATTTACTTGGTCGTCACCCACTGCTTATACTTTCCTGTTTAGTTGGTCCACTTTTATAATAGCTATAGTAGAAAGGGGATTCTGGTGACCATAGTGACAAATAATGAAAGGTTTGAATTCAAGTCCCATGTGGCCCATGTTTTATCTATGTCTCAAACTACATTTTTTTCCTTCAATGTACCTACATTAAGTTATATTTATAGCAAGGCTTTCATGAGTTAACAGGTTTAACCAGAGGCCGCAGGCCGAGGTGTTTTACCTGTTAACGAATGAAGTGTGCTATAAATGACACCTGCTCAACATGCTTGTTGTTATTGCACAGAAAACCCACCCCACTTCTCTATATGATTTCTACTAAAACTAATGTAAACCAGCAATATTGTGCAATAACATTGAACATGTCCAGTTATTGCACGGTTAAGCTCCACCCAATCTACTAGATGGAAAACAAACTGCTTATACAACGAAAAGAACAAAGGAAGATTTCCTGTCCATGTTACAAATTTTCTTGTAGCACATAACCAGTCATGATTCACTCTCTCTCTCTCTCTCTCTCTGTTTGTATTTCAATTTGAGTGAAATCTGTATCACTGTACAGTGCAGTGGATAATTACAGCTAGCACTCAAATCCATTCACTTGATCTGATATATGCATTTGTTGTTTAGGGTGTCCATAGGTTTGTCATGTCCGTAGGTTTGTCTTGTGTAATTATTTGTGTGTGGTGTGGTCCCCCTTCACATACTATTACAGTGGTAATGTGACAATTAAGATTATTTTTAAATTCATATTTGTAATTACATGCTTTCTGATTTGTTTCAGTTGATTGCCTTCCAACCATTTTTTGTGTCTCTGAATCTACCGTATTCTATCCGTCGTGGTGAAAACTTTGAACTGATTTGTGGTGTGTATAATTACATGGAAACAGATGTTTCGGTAAGTAACACCACCAATACAGCTTAAATTCGTCAAAATATAATTTAGTCCCACCACCAGTACAGCTTGAACTTGGCAATATTCACTGTAAACCGGGTATCATTTAATCTTGTGTATTTAGCACTAATTTCTTTCACATTCATTCAATATCAAAACTTTGTTTGAAAATTCGTAAAAATTGTTTAAAATCACCAAATAGCATCTAATTTGTACTTGTTTCCAGTTTAAAGCTGATCGTTCAATTTTGATAATGAGTGCCCAATTTTACAAGCGTTTAATTTCTTGATCACTGTTAAAAAAAACAAAACAGCACAATTGATTACTCATATATAATGATTAATTTTTGAACAGTGATCAAGGAATTAAATACATGTAAATTGGACACTCATTATCAAAATTAATCAGTCAGCTTGAAACTCAACATAAGTACAAATTAGATGATTATGGGTGATTTAAATAATTTTTACGAATTTTTAAACAAAGATCTGATATTAAATGAATGTGAAAAAAATTATTGTTAGATACACAAGATTAAATGATACCTGGGTTACAGTAATGTCTTTTTGTCCTACCACTAATACAGCTTGAACGCAGAAGATCTTCTTATCCAACCACCAGTACAGCTGTTTAAATTTATCCATAACCGAAATTGTTTGCATCCTTGTTTCTCAAAAGTTGTTGAGTAATCAACAGACTAATTAATTACTCAACACTGCTCTAGAAACTAAACAGTCATTATCTAATCGGGGGGTTGGATGGCTGAATGGTTAGCGTGCGCGCGCTGTATCATAAAGTCTGTCATTGAGTCGACTGGCGTGGTTTCGAATCCCCGGTTGTACGTGACAAGGAGTATGTTGAAATAAAATTAAACCATATGTTGGTCCCGAAATGACCTAGTTTGTGTCGAGTGGACGTTAAACCCCATTTCTCTCTCTCTCTCTCTTTGTTGGCCTGGTTTGCCAATCAGTATATGCTTTTGTTAACTTTGTTCTTTCTTCATGAACCCAGTCGGAGCAGAACAGTCTGATGATAAAACCCCATCCCATTTCACTTTTTTTTGTAATTCCAGGTTTTGGTAACCATCGAGAGATCAGACAATTTTGGTGTCTTATCCAGTAACAGTGTAGAGAATGACTTCTTGAACAAGGAAATGTCAGAAGAAATCATGGTAATTAAGAATTTATTATCATTCCTGAAACTTTATGTTCTTTTACTCTCTCCAGTGTTGCTCCTTTTTTGCATTGGAGTCATGGTGACTCAGTCGGTAAGACACTGGTTCACACACAGGAGCTCCAGGGTTCAATCCCAGTGTTGGTCAATGGTGACTCATCAGTCTTTGTAAGATGCTAGTTCACACACAGGAGCTCCACTGTTCAATCCCAGCATTGGAGACATGAGGGCTCAGTCTGTAAGATGCTGGTTCACACACAGGAGCTCCAGGGTTCAATCCCAGCATTGGAGACATGAGGGCTCAGTCTGTAAGATGCTGGTTCACACACAGGAGCTCCAGGGTTCAATCCCAGTGTTGGTCAATGATGACTCAGTCTCTGTAAGATGCTAGTTCATACAGAGAGGCTGCAGGGTTCAATCCCAGTGTTGGAGACATGAGGGCACAGTCTGTAAGATGCTAGTTCATGCACAGGAGCTCCAGGGTTCAATCCCAGTGTTGGAGACATGAGGGCTCAGTCTGTAAGATGCTAGTTCATGCACAGGAGCTCGAGAGTTCAATCCCAGTGTTGGAGACATGAGGGCTCAGTCTGTAAGATGCTAGTTCACACACAGGGTTCAATCCCAGTGTTGGAGACATGAGGGCTCAGTCTGTAAGATGCTAGTTCATGCACATGAGCTCGAGAGTTCAATCCCAGTGTTGGAGACATGAGGGCTCAGTCTGTAAGATGCTAGTTCACACACAGGGTTCAATCCCAGTGTTGGAGACATGAGGGCTCAGTCTGTAAGATGCTAGTTCACACACAGGGTTCAATCCCAGTGTTGGAGACATGAGGGCTCAGTCTGTAAGATGCTAGTTCACACACAGGAGCTCCAGGATTCAATCCCAGAGTTGGTCTAGAAAGTTCCTATGAATTTTTTTGAGCATGATTTCCTCTTGTTGTTAAAAGCGCTGTTTGTATTTGATGCAGTATTTAATGATGATATTATCGATTAAGTATAAACGGAATAAATATAAGTTAATGTACAAGATATTTCTTTTTTTTTTTCGTTTTCTTTTATCTAGTGACATTCAGTTACTTTTTTGAACGATCAGAGATCCTCTCACAGTGTCACATAACAACTTTTGGTCTTCGAAAGAATTATTAGTGAGCAGAAATTCACCTGCGTATCTGTTATCACTCGTCACTTCAGTCAGTTATTTGATGCAGTTATTTAATAATGAATTTAATGTCTATTGCATTATTATGGATGTTAGAAAATGGAGATAAACTCCACAGTTTTATTTTTACCCCTCTAATTGCTGGGTATCACAGCTAGTTTTATTGTATTCACTGTAACTTTGATATCGTTGACTAAGCAACGAATAATTGTTATAAATGAAAATATACAACACTAATAGATCAAAGTCGTCAATTTATATAGATAATGTGTATTAGTTAGAAAATTGTTAGTAATCAGGCTGTAGTCATTAAGTAGGTGTTTTGTCATTAAGGTGTTAAAACTGTGATTATTGACTGATATACACCACTATTTTCCAGGTCTGTGTATTCTATAGTAATGGGTGTTATATAAATAGTCACGCTTTTACACCAGTGACCAGTGATGACATCTTTTACATCTAATTATACACCTGCTAATTAAAGACAACTGTATAATTTCTAACCACTTTCAATACATACTAAACATTAGTTTATAATAATGACCACTTATATGATTTAATGGGGGATCACATGGCTAAGTGGGTAAGATGCTGGCTCGCTAGCCTGGAGGTCGGGTGTTCAATCCCTGCATTGGCCGAGAAAGTTCATCCAGATTTTCCGGCGTGGTTTCCCCTTGTCAGTGATGCAGGACAGAGGGCCCGACAAGAACAGCTGTCTAGTCGTTCGGATGGAACGAAAAACCGAGGTCCCGTGTACAAATTGGCATGCACGTAAAAGATCCTTTGGCAGTTGGAATTCGATATAAGAGTAGGCCGTAGCGCCGCTGCCCGGGCAAAATTTCCCTCATAGCACACTGTATGGCGTATGCCCGTCTTCATTAGCCCAGTTTAGGAGCAAAACAGTAGGACATTAAACCCCATTTCATTTCATTTTATATGATTTAATGACAAAAGTCGTCATTACTAAAGAGTCTAGCTTCATTACCATAGTGATTGGTGTTTCAGGTCAGGAGTAATACTGCTGGAAGTGTATCTTTCCGTTTAAAACCAACCGTAATAGGAGATGTGGAAATATCAGTCAAAGCCCAACCTAGAGGAACCTCCGAACCTGGTGATCAGGTCAAGCGAACAGTTATCGTGAAGGTACGCAAATGTTGAAAATGATTAAAACTGTTGAATTTGTGCCATTTTTAAAGTGAATGCTGATTTTACGATGCCCACGACTTGATGCCACTGATGATAATAATATTTTATTGGGGGGTTGTTTCGTTGGGATGGCATAGTTGTCCAGAGTGCTGTGCGTCAAGTTATGTTTGGTCGGTATGTTACCTCTCGGATACCCTATCCTAACAAATAATGGATCATTATTGCTAGAACATTTGTATCTAATCAGTGTTTTTATTTATGTTTTAGCCTGAAGGATTTAAGATTAGTAATAATACAGTATTAAGTGTTGATTTGAGTGAGAACCCTAGTTACAAAGATATTGTTGATATTTGGTATCCTGAGATGGTTGTTAGTGATTCCAAGAGAGTTGAGGTCAAGGTCACAGGTGAGATAATGTAAAGTTAACAGATGCAAAGGTAGTTGAGAGAAAGAGAAAGAGAGAGAGAAAAAGAGAGAGAGATTATGGTCCACCCAACACAAACTAGGTCATTTCAAGACTAACATATGGTTCAATTTTATTTCAATAATTCGCTTGCGCGTAGGGGTCTTTATAGCAGTGGAAGGAAACCGGACCCGGGGAAAACCCACGAGGTTGGACAGGCGACCATACTTCTTGTCACGTACAACCGGGGAATCGAAACCGGGCCAGTTGACTCAATGACAGACCTTATGATACAGCATGCACGTGCTAACCATTCGGCTGTCCATCCACCCCCTCTTCAGTGATGAAAGAAAAAGATTAATATTAGAGGGCTTAGAGAGTTTGTTACAATATAATATATACATATTTGTAGGTGATATAATGGGCCCTGTATTGGATGGCTTAGAGAGTTTGTTACAAGTACCATACGGATGCGGAGAGCAGAACATGATTGGTATGGTACCAAATATCTTTGTAGCTTCATATTTAGAAAAAGTGGGTAAACTGACCAACGAGATTAAAGAACGAGCTGTCAAGAACATGAAGCGAGGTAAGTACTATTTTCTGTCACAGGTAAAAATATGATAATCACACAGTCTGATTAAAGATACATTATGGGAGATTCGATAACGAGTTGGCAGTTCTCATTATAATAGTTAAAAACTAGATAGTGTAAAGGGAATATGCTGAAAATTTCAGTCAAATTGATCCACTATGAACCGAGAAATAAGCGATCGAATGTTCCGCATAGCCTCGGTCATCATTACTAAAGTCGGTACGACAAAAATCATAGTCTTGATTATCCATTTATTCGTTAAATCGAGAAGGAAAGTTATGCAGCAAATTGGATCATAATCCAACAATTATCGCAGGCTAGCGTTGACATCGAGAGATGATTATGGTCTGGATAAGTTAATTAATGTCTAATTAATAATTTAGATAACATTTCAGGCCTAAAGAAAGACCTACAATAGGCAGATTTAGCTCTTGCATAATGTATGATCCTATTTCGTTTCATTTTTTTTATATTTCAAAACTTCGTTTTACTTGTCTTCACTACACTAGGATCTGTAAGAGTTGTTTTCATTGATGTGTTCTGTATGATGTGAGGGTTTAGTTCAGGCAATGAAACGGTCTGTTACAGCAAGCTTTTGGCGTGTGGTGCACAGAACTGTGGGTAATCCACTAGAAAAATCAATACTGATTGGTTAATCAAATGTCTGACGTCATAGGGTCAAAAATCGTTCGTATGACCTCTGATGCGACCTATCGCTACAAACGGGCAGATCTTCATGTAGTATAGGCCATCGAAAGTATAAAAAAAAAAAAACGGAATATAGATCTGTATTTTCATCAGATTGATAATCACATGGTCTGCAGTTCAGGATGCTAATCACAAGATGCTAATCACATGGTCTAGGGATCAGGATGATAATCACATGGTCTGCGAGTCATAATGCTTATCACATGGCAGTACTCGCTATATCTATACTAATATTTGTGACTTTCGTTTGTCTGTCTGTTCGGGGTTGGCAGCTACACTAGGTCTGCCCCGAGTCTGAAATTTGGGGTATAGGGGCAGCTCGGACCGGGGAGTAACATAGGCCAGGTGGCGTTAGTCTACCACTTCCGGTTTCGGAGTTATGACCCCCGAGCGAAGCTGGGCATTCTTCTAGTAATAGTTAAAAATGAATATGCTGAAATTTCAGTCAAATTAGTTCACTTTGAGCCAAGCTATCAGCAATACAATTTATAGTCTAGTCTTGATTGTTATTACTAATGTTGTAACGATTTAAAAATTTGACATGAAAATGGTTAGTCAAGACTTTGTTTATTATTGTAGCAATGACATGTGCAATCGAGGGCCTTTTGTTATAAGCCCACAATGAGTTTTAGCCCTTGTTTTACTTTGTTGAACAGTATAATAAAAACAAATTGTCAACCAATCTGTATAAAATTGATATCAATGCCTTGTAAATGCTCCTATTACCTATAAGAATAAATATGTGATAACCCATGTCAACTGCTCTGACGATTAAGCTGCTGTGGCCGTATACTCCGTTGCCTGGCAACCTATATTTCTAATATTTGTGAATTTCATGTTTTAGGTTATCAGAGAGAATTAAAATACAAGCATACAGATGGATCCTTTAGTGCTTTTGGCGAGAGTGACGATTCTGGCAGTACTTGGTAAGGCATAGAGTAACTACGTGCGGTATTACAGTTTTAGAAAAAACATGATTAAGAAACAGTCTGGTTATATTTTGAGGAGCCACAGTGGCATAGTGAGAGAGGGAGAAATGGGGTTTAACATCCACTTGACACAAACTAGGTCATTTCGGGACTAACACATAGTTTAATTTTATTTCAATAATTCGCTTGCGTGTAGGGGTTCTTTAGCAATGGGAGGAAACCAGAGGACCCAGAGAAAACCCACTAGGTTGGACAGGCGACCCTACTCCTTGTCACGTACAGCCTGGTATTCCAAACCATGCCAGTTGTCTCAATGACAGACCTTATGATACAGCACGCACATGCTAACCATTCAGCCATCCAAGCCCTGTGGCATAGTGAGTAAGGCCTACTCACTTATCGAACGATCCTTGGTTAGAACAGAAAGGTCGCTGTTGATAAAGCCAATACTGTCTTTGTTCAAGGCTCTAAATATTAATGACTTTGTTGTTGGCGTTGTTGTAGTCTCTATCATCCAGACAAATATTCTACAAATTTTAGTCTGGATGCTTTGTCAACATTTGAGAATAATAGGTCATTGGCTAGATTATCTGGTCTCTTACATTATCATAAACAACGTCTAAGGGAGGTAAATCGTCCTAAAACAAGATGATGACGCCCATGAAATTAATTTCAGAATTCCACTTCAAATAATCCATTTGGTTGCATGCCAGTTCAATATCCAACACTCTTTTTTTTATTGTAAAATTTCTCTCATCATGGGCCATATCTATATTTTTTAAATTAATTCTAATTCGTCGTCACGTTTCATGTTTGTTTATATTAATGCAAGAATTATGGGATTTATTGCGGGAAGGTGCATGTGTTGATGACAAAGTCATCTTGTTGATATTCTTTTAGATCGGGGAGAGAGGGGGTTTAACGCGTGCATCTGAAATCAATTGGTCTGTGATTGGTTCAAGTGGCATGGTTTCGATTCCCCGCCTGTACGTGACAAGGGGTAGAGTTGCCTGTCCAACCGTGTGGGTTTCCCACGGGGCCTCCAGTTTCCCACCACTGCTAAAGACCCCTATGCGCAAGCGAAATATTAAAATGAAATTGAACCATATATTAGTCCCAAAATGACCTAGTTGGTGTCAAGCGGACGTTAAACTCCATTTAGCTCCCTCTATGTCTTTTAGGTTGTGGAGCCACAGTGAGTAAGTTGTTGGCTTCTGAACCAGGAGATCCCTCTTGTTCGATACTGGTATTGACCGAGAAAGTACATCAGGTTTTTCTATCATGGTTCCCCCTTGTCAGTGGTGTAGAACAGAGGTCCTGGCAAGCGACAATGTATAGTCATTGGGTTGGGACAAAAATATGAGATTCCGTGTACACATTGGCATGTATGTTAAAAGAACCATTGATACTTAGAATTCAAAATAAGAGTGGCCAATAACGTTGATGTCCCAGCAAGATTTCCATCATAGCACACACTGTATGGCATATGCCCATCGGGGGGTTGGATGACCGAATGGTTAGCACGTGCACACTGTATCATAAAGCCTGTCATTGAGTCAACTGGCGTGGTTTTCGAATCGCCGGTTGTACGTGACAATGAGTAGGGTCGCCTGTCCAACCTCGTGGGTTTTCTCTGGGTCCTCCGGTTTCCTCCCACTGCTAAAGACCCCCATGCGCAAGCGAATTATTGAAATAGAATTAAATCATATGTTAGTCCCGAAATGACCTAGTGTCGAGTGGATGTTAAACCACATTTCTCTCTCTCTCTTATATGCCCATCTCATTAGCCGAGTCGGAGTAGAAAAGTAGAGCACTAAATCCCCTTTCATTTCTTTTAGGTTGTCAGCTTTCGTATTGAAGTCGTTGACTCAAGCCAGTAAATATATTACGATTGACCCTAAAATACAGACGGGAATATTTACATGGTTATATGATAATCTGGAATCTGATGGTCAGTTTAATGAACCAGGACGTGTCATTCATCAAGAAATGTTGGTAAGTGTCTTTTAACGATTGTGATAGACTTTTTGACCAGCCATTAAATGCATGGAAGAAAAGTGTGCTATATCAAATGTAATGTGTTATGTATTAGGACGAACCCTATGATAGATTTTAAATGATAGATGTTACCGTTTTTTAATAGTCCTTATCAAGCTTGTGAATACAATAGAGATCAGATTATCAAGCTTGTGAACACGATAGAGATTAGATTTCTTGAAGGATACTTACATCAAGCTTGTGAACATGATAGAGATTAGATTTCTTGAAGGATACTTACCTTATCAAGCTTGTGAACACCAGAGATCAGATTTCTTGAAGGATACTTACCTTATCAAGCTTGTGTATACCAAGAGATTAGATTTCTTGAAGGATACTTGCCTTATCAAGCTTGTGAACACCAGAGAGATCAGATTTCTTGAAGGATACTTACCTTATCAAGCTTGTGAACATGATAGAGATTAGGTTTCTTGAAAGATACTTACCTTATCAAGCTTGTGAACACCAGAGATCAGATTTCTTGAAGAATACTTACCTTATCAAGCTTATGAACATGATAGAGATCAGATGTCTTGAAGGATACTTTCCTTATCAAGCTTGTGTATACAAGAGATTAGATTTCTTGAAGGATACTTGCCTTATCAAGCTTGTGAACACCAGAGAGATCAGATTTCTTGAAGGATACTTACCTTATCAAGCTTGTGAACATGATAGAGATCAGATGTCTTGAAGGATACTTTCCTTATCAAGCTTGTGTATACAAGAGATTAGATTTCTTGAAGGATACTTACCTTATCAAGCTTGTGAACACAAAAGATTAGATTTCTTGAAGGATACTTACCTTATCAAGCTTGTGAACACAAAAGATTAGATTTCTTGAAGGATACTTACCTTATCAAGCTTGTGAACACAAGAGATCAGATTTCTTGAAGGATACTTACCTTATCAAGCTTGTGAACATGATAGAGATCAGATTTCTTGATGCTTGTGAACATGATAGAGATCAGATTTCTTGAAGGATACTTACCTTATCAAGCTTGTGAACATGATAGAGATTAGATTTCTTGAAGGATACTTACCTTCTCAAGCTTGTGAACACCAGAGATCAGATTTCTTGAAGGATACTTACCTTATCAAGCTTAAGAACATGATAGAGATCAGATGTCTTGAAGGATACTTTCCTTATCAAGCTTGTGTATACAAGAGATTAGATTTCTTGAAGGATACTTGCCTTATCAAGCTTGTGAACACCAGAGAGATCAGATTTCTTAAAGGATACTTACCTTATCAAGCTTGTGAACATGATAGAGATTAGATTTCTTGAAGGATACTTACCTTATCAAGCTTGTGAACATGATAGAGATTAGATTTCTTGAAGGATACTTACCTTATCAAGCTTGTGAACACCAGAGATCAGATTTCTTGAAGGATACTTACCTTATCAAGCTTGTGAACACAAGAGATCAGATTTCTTGACGGATACTTTCCTTATCAAGCTTGTGAACACAAGAGATTAGATTTCTTGACGGAAACTTACCTTATCAAGCTTGTGAACATGATAGAGATCAGATTTCTTGATACTTGAAGGATACTTACCATATCAAGCTTGTGAACACCAGAGATCAGATTTCTTGAAGGATACTTACCTTATCAAGCTTGTGAACACAAGAGATTAAATTTCTGGAAGGATACTTACCTTATCAAGCTTGTGAACACAAGAGAGATCAGATTTCTTGAAGGATACTTTCCTTATCAAGTTTGGTCAACATCCGAGTATTCCTTTCAGATAAGCTGCTGTCCAGACATATAGCTGCTGCGTGGTTATATTTTCACGCTTTCCGTGGCTATCTTTTTAAAGTTTTTAAATGTATAAATAACATTATTGCACCTATCTTAGTAATCTTTTATGTTTTTATGAATCTTGTCGACAATTACGGTCTTCTGGTGATAATTTGCTACTTATTGAGAACAATACTAATCTCGTCAGTTTCCGCGAGAAGACTATTGAGGTGGCTGCCCCAAAACTATGGAATAAACTTCCTTATTCCATTCGGTCATTTACTTCTCTGTCATCATTTAAGATTTCTCTTAAAACCCACTTGTGTAATAGGGCTTTTAATTAATCATCTCTATGATAATTATATCTATAATTTTATACATTAATTCCTTTTACTCAACTTTTATATATATTATTCACTTTTTATGTTTCAATCCTATATTTGTTTTGCCAATTTTTTTTTAATATCATATTATGTTTATTGTAAAGCGTCATTGAGCACTTTTGTGGAAATGGCGCTATATAAACGCTTATAAATAATAATAATAATAATAATTTACGTGACATTTTTTTCAGGGTGGTGGAAGTAAAGGTCATTTGTTATCAGCATATGTTTTAATTGCCATCTTAGAGAGTGAGAGTTTTATAGTTGATGTAAGTACTGTATATTCTGTATATTTAGCTTCATGGGGAGGGGGTGTAGATGTCCAAATGGTTAGCAGGTGCACACTGTATCATAAGGTCTATCATTGAGTCAACTGGTGTGGTTTCGTTTACTCGGTTGTACGTAACAAGGAGTAGGGTCGTCTGTCCAACCTCGTGGGTTTTCTCTGGGTTCTCCGGTTTCCTCCCATTGCTAAAGTCCCCTACGCGCATGTGAATTATTGAAATAAAATTGAACCATGTGTTAGTCCCGAAATGACCTAGTTTGTGTTGAGTGGACGTTAAACCACATTTCTTTCTCTCCCTCATTAAGCTTCATCTTCAAGCAAATTATTGAAATAAAATTGAACCATGCGTTAGTCCCGAAATGACATAGTTTGTGTCGCATGGACGTTAAACCCATCTCTCTCTCTCTCTCTCTCTCTCTCTCTCTCTCTCTCTCTCTCTCAATGAGTAAGATGCTGGTTCACTAATGATCGAGGGTTATGGCCGTGAAAATTTCTCAGTCATTGAGTCAACTGGCGTGGTTTCGAATCCCCAGTTGTACGTGACAAGGAGTAGGGTCGCCTGTTCAACCTCGTGGGTTTTCTCCGGGTCCTCCGGTTTCCTCCCACTGCTAAAGAACCCTACGCGCAAGCGAATTATTGAAATAAAATTAAACCATATGTTAGTCCCAAAATGACCTAGTATGTGTCGAGTGGACGTTAAACCCCATTTCTCTCTCTCTCTCTGTTAGTGGTGTAGTGATCGTATGTCAGTCCCGAAAAAAAAAAAAAATCAAATGGATTTCTCAGGATGGTGCAGAATGATTTCCTCTTGTCAGTGGTGGTAGTGATCATATGTCAGTCCCGAAAAAAAAATCAAATGAATGTTGAAACACATTTTCTTTGTGATGAGAGAGACAGACAGAGAGGGAGGGGGGGGGGGCAATTAAGTGTTGTTGATTCATTTACTTACTTTTATTTACATTATAAATCATATGTGCACAGGGAGGATCACGGTGGCTAAGTGGATAAGACACTGGCTCACTAGCCTGGAGGTCGAGTGTTCGATCCCTGCATTAGCTGAGTAAGTTCATCCAGATTTTCCCGGAGGGACTGACTAGGACAGGTGTCTAGTCGTTTGGATGGGACGAAAAAACGAGGTCCTGTGTACACATTGGCGTGCACGTACAAGATCCCTTGACAGTTGGAATTAGGCCGTAGTGCTGCTGTCTGGGCAAAATTTCCCTCATAGCACACTGTATGGCGTATGCCCGTCTTCATTAGCCCAGTTTGGAGCAGAACAGTAGGACGTTAAACCCCATTTCATTTCATTTCATATATGCACAGGGTTCTTAGATGGGGGAGGAATCTATAGTACCTGGAGAAAAACAAGCTTGTATCGTTGCCCACTTTTGTTGATTTCTTTACATAATTATTATCTTGTGATATTTTTTACAGAAAACTAAATATACTGTCGCTACAAGTAAATCGATTAAATATCTTGAAAATTTGGTAGATGGCAATGATATCACCAAACCTTACGACAGAGCAATCATAGCCTATGCTTTAACCTTAGCCAACAGTAATAAAGCAGCAATGTTACTCCAACAATTAAATGGTAAGTTTTTAAACACAGGTCCGTGTAAATCAGGGCACTGGTAACTCTTTGTACTGAGCAATCAGGGCACCAATATCACTGTAACCCAGGTATCATTTAATCTTGTGTATTTAGATCTTATTTCTTTCACATTTATTCAATATCTAATCTCCTTTTAGAAATTTGTAAAACTTGTTTAAACTCACCAAAAATCATCTAATCTGTACTTGTGTCCAGTTTAACGCTGACCATTCAGTTTTGATAATGAGTGTCCAATTTGCAAGCATTTTGTGAACAGTGATCAAGAAATTTTACTGTTTAAAAACAAACAACCCAATTAATTATTGTTGTAAAATGATTACTTTTTGAACAGTGATCAGGAAATTAAATACTTGTAAATTGGACATTCGTTACCAAAATTAATCAGCTGAAAGTCGCTTGGTCAGGGCAACTGTAATTTTTATTACAACCCTGGGCCATGTAAGTCGATTGGTTAGGGCACTAGTAGTTTTTTATACAACGTCGTACCCTTAATAGTGATTAACCCCAGTTCTTTAGAGAGTGGGCAGTTAGATGGCCGAATGGTTAGCGCGTGCACGTTGTATCATAAGGTCTGTCATTGAGTGAACTGGTGTGGTTTCAATTTCCCGGTTGTATGTGGCGACAAGTATGGTCACTTGTCCAACCTCATGGGTTTTCTCGGGGTCCTCTGGTTTCCTTAAACCATTGAAAAAAAAATAAACCAATGACCTAGTTTGTGTCGAGTGGACGTTAAACCCCATTTCTCTCTATCTCCCTCTTAGAGAGAAGTAATATTGTTTTCATTAGAGGACAAATTATATTCATCTACCTTGAGAACATGATTGAGGCTACAATTTATATCATTTTTTTTTTTAAATTTTGTGTGAATTATGGTGGTCATGAGAGGACGAACCTCTACAATGTTCTTTGACTTTCCATTCTGCAGTTAAGCCCACCCCTTTGCTGAAAACCTTGTGAATTTGATTTTTTTATACGCCCACATTGAAATGTAGTCATTTATTGTCGTCGTTCCCCTCCGTCGGTCTGGCGTCCACCTCCAGAGGCTTAAGTTAATATCCGACCTACTGATTTTCACCTATTTCCGATAATTGCTGCCAGAGTTACGTCCCTTGATCACTTCAAAATATCTTGTAGATGCTCTAGAGATTAAAGTTAATATCCGATTGACTTCAAGTGATGCAGGACGGGAGGGCCTGACAAGATAGCTATTTAGTCCTGTTTAGTCCTGTGTTTCAGGTCATGAGACGAAGAATCCTTTATCACTTTGAAAAATCTTGTGGATGCTGTAGAGGCTAAAGTGAATATCCAATAGACTTAAAATTTAATCACAGTGTTTAAGGTCATGAGTAGAAGAAGCCCAGTGATTTTCATTGATTTCTAATAATTACTACCAGAGTTATGGCCCATGATTTTCAATTTTGTTAACTTGAACAGCTAAAACCATGATATTAAATGTTTTGTATACTAAACGTTAGCATGGAGCAAGAACTAAAAGCCAAACAGATACTAATGATTCTCTGATAATTACTTAAAGTGTTACTCTTAATCAGATTTGAGTGTATTATAAATTTTTCATTATCGACAATAGAAAAAATATGCGACAACTCTTGTTGACTTCTCGGACAACTTAGCTGCTGTGGGTGTATGTTTGGTTGCCTGGCAACCTATCTTATAATTTTGTGTGAAGCATATGGTTCATGGGAGGAAAGTTTCATGTTATAAAAATGTTTTTCTTGTAGATGGAGTGAAACCATGGACAAAACCCACTTCACCCGACCCTGTTACAGTTGGTGATGTTGCTAAACCCGAAGCAATGATGTACCATCCTCCCCGTGCCACATCTTCAGACGTAGAGACATGGGCGTACGTAGTTCTGGCCTACACCAAGACCGGAAACGTTGCTTCTAGCAGAGACATTATCAAGTGGCTTATGTCACAGCAAAACTCCAAGGGTGGTTTCCACTCTACTCAGGTGAGTCAGGTGAACAGAGGAGATGCTCGTTCGATTGTCAGTCTGGAACGTCTCGAACTGACCAATCTGGTTAAAACACAGATCCTATTTCGTTTCGTTTTTATAGTTCAAAATTTCGTTTTACTTGTCTTTACTACACTTGGATCTGGAAGACTTATTTAACTTGTGTTCTGCTTGAAATGAAGGGTCAGCCAATCAAATGGTCTGTCGAATCGAGTGTTTGACCTTTTTTGCCCGGAACTGTGGGTAAGACACTAGTAACATCAATGTAGTGTAGGCCATCGAAAGTATAAAAAAATGAAACAAAATATAGATCTGAATTTTAATCAGATTGCGAATTGACAGAACTGCGATCGAATGACATGGATTTCAGTTCTGTTGGTTCTGACAGCAGAGATGGTGTGATTAGAATTGTGAGGTAATTAATTACAACAAATATGTTTCAGCCCTCCTTTTGGTTGGCATCTTATGCAGCGAGGGGGAGGTGGGGGGGTCGTGTGGTTAGCATGTGCGCGCTGTATCATAATGGCTGTCATTGATCAGCTGGCATGGTTTCAATTCCCTGGTTGTACGTGACAAGGAGTAGGTCATGTGTCCTACCCCGTGGGTCTTATCCGGGTCCTCCGGTTTCGTCCCATTGCTAAAGACCCCTAGTGTTTAGGGGATTGAGAGAATTCAAATCTTCAAATGTTGAATATTCAATTTGAGTACAGTAGGTAAAACTGTTTAAAAATTTTGGAAAAATTTCAAATGACGTACGCAGACTTTAATAATTTTTTGTTTTGATAACTTATGTTTCTAGGATACAGTAGTTGGCTTACAGGCATTAGCTAGTTTCGCCGAACTAATGTCTAGTGGTGATCTTGATGTAACTCTTAACGTAAAAACAGGAAGCAAGGTTCAAACATTTACAGTTAATCCACAAAACTCCTTGTTACTTCAGTCTTACCAAGTAAGTATTGTTCCCATTGACAATTTTGAATATTCAGCCTACTTTTCAAGTAGTTTGTCTTGAGCATGTCCATCCTCGTGGGTTTTCACTGGTTCCTTCTATTTTCTCCCACTACATGCAAATCATTGAACCATATGTTAGTCCCAAGATGAATTATCGTTACTGTGTGTGGGCCAGTGGAGGGGTGGATGGGGGGCCAGACATACAGGCACTGTGAAACTTAATGTTTGTTATATATGTAAGTCATAGATACAGCCCCACTGCCACGTATGTATATGACACTGAGTAGCATTTTCCTCCAACATCTTAAAAAAAACCATTCATGCAATGAAACCTTGGTCGTGTTATTGTCAGCATTCATCATCATCATTCATCGCCATCATTATCATCATCATCACCATTATTATTATTATTATTATTAATATCATCACCATCATTATTATTATCATTATTATTATCATTATTATTATCATTACCATCATTATTATCATCAGTCATCACCATCATTATTATTATCATCACCATTATTATTATCATTATCATCACCATTATTATCATCATCTCCATCATTATTATTATCATTCATCACCATCATTATTATCATCATTCATCACCATCAGTATTATTGTCATCACTATCATTATTATCATCATTATTATTATCATCACCATCATTATTATCATCATCACCATCATTATCATCATTCACCACCATCATTATTATCATCACCATCATTATTATCATCACCATTATTATTATCATTATTATCATCACCATCATTATTATCATCATTATTATCATCATTCATCACCATCATTATTATCATCATTATCATCATTATTATTATCATTATTATCATCATTATTATTACAGTTACCTGATGATACAACACAGGTTGAAATATCCGCTACTGGCTCTGGTATGATAATTGTAAAGGTGAGTCATTTATATCCAACATTTTAAGTAAATTACCCCTATTGCTGCAGGCGAGTTAGGGTGGGGATGTGCAGGGTGGGAATGTGCACTGTGCAGGTTGGGGATGTGCATGGAATAAAGGAGGTAAATTCAAGATTTTGTCATATTAGGACAAGAAAAATACTGCTGATTCTAATATGATCACAAACAAGGACTAATAACTTAATTCTCCCATTACGGAAGTGCCTGGAACAAATTTTAGCCTCAAAAATAATATATATCATTATAGAAAATTAAAAGGGAATATAAAATTTATTGTATAGGTCATGTGGAGATATTATACAAAGAAGTCTGTTCCAACCCTGTTGCCTATTGAAGGTGCCAATAAAGCACCCATCGTACTGAAAGCTGGAACCCAGAAAATCAACGACCAGACAACAAATGTCCGGACTTGTGTCAGGTGAGAACAAATATCACATAATGGTTTAGAGCAAAAGGCATGTATAATTATATTTGTTTATAATTAGGTATCCTTTGATTTTGGTTGTGTCTTTTGATTTTGGTTGTGTTCTTTGATTTTGGTCATGATTTTCGTTGTGTCTTTTGATTTGGGTTGTGTCCTGTGATTTTTGTCATGTCCTTTGATTTTGGTCGTGATTGTGGTCGTGTCCTTTGATATTGGTCGTTATTTTGGTTGTGTCCTTTGATTTTGATCATGATTGTGGCCATGTCCTTTAATTTTGGTCGTGTCCTATGATTTTTGTCGGCGATTAGGGTGGCATGGAGTGAAGTGACATGGTTTCGATTCCCTGCTTGGACATGACAAGGAGTAGGGTCACCTGTCCAGCCTACCAACGTAGTGGGTTTTGCCTGGTTTCCTCCTACACCTAAAGACCCCTTCATGCAAGCGAATTATTGAAGTAAAATTGAACTATATGTTAGTCCCAAAATGACCCAGTTTGTGTCAAGTGGACATTAAACCCCATTGCTCTCTCTCCTTTGATTTGAAACTTGTATTTGATGTAGTTGTGAGATAGTCATTGTGTGTGCAAGGATGTGTTGTGAATGAAACCGGTAATGTTTTTAATTTGGTATATGCGTGACTGACATTGTGTGTGCAAGCCATTAAAACTTGGTAACAAGATGTTTTTTGAATGAAATTTGTATGTTATTTGATGGTTTTTTTTTTTTATTTGGTAGTTGTGAAGCTGATATTGGTATGAGTATTATTCAGGTAGACATGCCATCTGGTCATCTTCCCAACAACATGGAACAATTAAATAAAAATAAACTCGTTAAACGATCAGAGTTTAAAGATGAATCCATTACCATCTATCTAGATCAGGTAAGCACAGTTAATTGATGTATGGACAGAAACATGTAAGCACAGTTAATTGACATATGGACAGAAACATGTAAGCACAGTTAATTGATGTATGGACAGAAACAGGTAAGCACAGTTAATTGACGTATGGACAGAAACAGGTAAGCACAGTTAATTGACGTATGGACAGAAACAGGTAAGCACAGTTAATTGATCGTGACGTATGGACATAAACAGTTAAGCACAGTTAATTGACGTATGGACAGAAACAGGGAAGCACAGTTAATTGACGTATGGACAGAAACAGGTAAGCACAGTCAATTGACGTATGGACAGAAACAGGTAAGCACAGTTAATTGACGTATGGACAGAAACAGGTAAGCACAGTTAATTTACGTATGGACAGAAACAGGTAAGCACAGTTAATTGACGTATGGACAGAAACAGGTAAGCACAGTTAATTGACGTATGGACAGAAACAGGTAAGCACAGTTAATTGACGTATGGACAGAAACAGGTAAGCACAGTTAATTGACGTATGGACAGAAACAGGTAAGCACAGTCAATTGACATATGGACAGAAACTATCTGATTAAAATACAGATCTATATTTCGTTTCGATTTTTTATACTCTCGATGGCCTACGCTACATGAAGATCTGACCAGTTGTTTGGGGGGGGGGGAACGCGTCACAGGTCATACAAGTGGCTTTTGACCCTATGACGTCAGACATTTGATTAACCAATCAACATTGATATTTCTAGTGGATTACCCAGACTTCCATGCACCTCACGCCAAAAGTTCGCCGTAACAGACCATTTTATTGGCTAATTACTCACATCATCCAGAACACATCAATGATAACAACTCTTCCAGATCCTAGTGCTGTGAAGACAAGTAGGCCTATAACAAAATTTTGAACTATAAAAAATGAAACGGAATATGTTCTGTGTGTTTAATCAGATTGGGAGAGAAATGAACTGAAACCTCTGGGACCTCCTGTTTAGTGAGCCAGTGCCTTACTGACTGAGCAACTGTGCCTTGGTTTCTCCCAGCAGTGGTGCAGTACTGGTGACCTAACAAAGGACAGCTGTCTAGTCATTTGGATGGGATAAAAAAACTCCGGTCCCATGTACACATTTGTAGATGGAATTTGATGTAAGAGTAGGTCATAGTACCGCTGTCCTAGCAAAATTTCCCTCAGAGCACACTGTATGGTGTGTGGCTGTCTGTCTTTACTAGGGGGGTTGGATGGCTGAATGGTTAGCGTGCGCGCGCTGTATCATAAAGTCTGTCATTGAGTCGACTGGCGTGGTTTCGAATCCCCGGTTGTACGTGGCAAGGAGTAGGGTCGCCTGTCCAACCTCGTGGGTTTACTCCGGGTCCTCCGGTTTCCTCCCACTGCTAAAGACCCCTACGCGCAAGCGAAATATTGAAATAAAATTAAACCATATGTTAGTCCCGAAATGACCTAGTTTGTGTCGAGTGGACGTTTAACCCCATTTCTCTCTCTCTCTCTCTGTCTTTACTAGCCCAGTCGGAGCAGAAGGACGTTGAACCCCATTTCATTTCATTTACTGACTGAGAAATAGTTTGTTTGATGAAGATCACTGAAAACCACAATGACAGATCCATCAGGGTAGCAGGATCAAAACTATGAAATAAACTGTTATAAATCGTCTGTTATAAACGGTGTCCGTTATACAAAAAATCTGCTATCGACCCTGAATTAGCGACCAGAAGGTAACACCATCACATAAAATAACAACATTTATAATATGCAGAATCTACAGAGCATACATGTATTTACATAAAAGTCATGTACAGTATGTATTCACATATTATGAATGTTCAAAATAAACAAGCTTATTTGAAAAAGTCTGGACGAATATACGTATTGAGAAGACTTTTGAAATTTACTTGAGGCAGAAGAAGACCAAAATTTACTTTTGAACAAATTGAAATCTCAAAATTTCAGTTGTTATTCGAGATTTCCATGTGTGTGGAATCGCTGTTGTGCCTGGGCTGAATTTTCCTGGAAAAATGTTTCCCATAAAATCAGTATGGATATTTCCTGAGAAAAATATTCCGGTCACCGATAATAAAATCAGTAATATCATTTTATTCTGCTTATTCTAGAGTCCGTTATATTACATTGATTTGTTGATTAGGGACCGACGAAAATCATCCGTTATAAACAATTGTCCGTTATACAGTGTCCACTATAAAAGACTTTGAAAATAAGAAATTTCTATTACAAAAATTGGGACCAAACTGTTGTGTCCATTATAAGCGATTGTCCATTGTATGCATGTCTGTTATATGTGGAGTCTACTGGACCACGAAATCTGAAAGAGTGTCCTTCTTTGGAAATTTTTAAGAAGACTTTAAAAACATATCTATTTCAAAGAACATTCTGCAAATAACAACTTTTATTCTAGAACTACATGCAAATACAAGCAAATATTGAATACAGCCATTGAATAACCTATGGTTGTATTCAATGGCGTGGACACAGACGTCACTTTCAGAATTACATGTAGGTCAAACAATAATGACATAACCCCTAGGCAACCACATTTTTGTAAAAAAAGAAAGAAAAAAGGGCGGAACCTATGATGAATTTTAACCTTATTGGTGATGGGGTTTTTTTTTTTTTTTTTTTTTTTTTTGATAATCTGGATAGTACAGTGTATTTTGAGACTTGCATGGAGTTTTATGCGGTATTCAATGGTCATTGAGTTCTATCTATGTATAATGTGTTAATTTTTTTTAATTATCAAATTCAACAAACATAAACTTTAATAAAATTTCTATGTTTACAGATTCCAACAGCAGAGACATGTTTTAATGTAGAATTGGTGCAGACTCAACAAGTTGATAATATACAAGATGCACCAGTCAAAGCTATGGCGTATTATCAAACAGGTAGGTCCACTCGTATCCCAAACACAACCCCATGCCAAACAGGTAGATCCATTTGTGCTCCCAAACACAACCCTGTGCCAAACAGGTAGGTTAATTTGCATCCCCAAACACAACCCTGTGCCCAACCCTGAAAAACTACTTTCAGTCAGCAAACTTTATACCCTTTGTCAAAAATGTATTTTGTTCTTGTAAAAAACGATTTTGTTCTTTTAAAAATGTACTGTTTACTTTTTATTTTAGAAATTGAAAGCTCGGTGATGTACAATATCGTAAAACCAACCACCGATTTCTGTAAAGAATTTTGCAAAGAAGGCGGTTGTGCTGGTTGCCCGGGTAACAAGGCCGGTAGCTTGACAACAGCTAGTGTTATGGCCGTATCGTTGATCTGTGTTCTACTGAGTTTTATTTTTGCTGTTTAGATATTTTTAAGAACTGCAAAAAATCTTGAATATAAAAGTTTTTCTCAGTCTACTATTGTGAAATCCCTTTTAAAATTTTTTTTCATTGTTTTTTTTTTCTTTTTGTTGTTAAAAGTCGCAATGCGTCATTTTAGCGCAATAGGAATCCCTTGCAATGGTTCAATTCAATTCAGTATTTACAAAGATATGTCAAATGGAAATGAACTGACTGATATTCCTATTAGACTTAAAACTTTAATGCCACCAGGCCTTTTTTACTCCCTGGTTCGAGATATCCCTCCCTATACACCAAATACAGACAAACAAACGACAGTCACAAATATTAGTATAGATATTGTTTACAAGGGATTCCTATAGCACTAAATGACGTGATGTGACTTTAGTACAAGGTCACATTATCCAGACAGAAAAAATTAAATTTCACATCATTTCGGAAAGGCATAAAATATACAGCTGTAAATGATGAAATATAAACAAAAGTTAAAATTTATTTATTTGCATGAAACATTTGTTCACACTCTTTTTATTTCTGGGGTTTTAATTAATAAATAACGGTTATTGTACAGGTTTTAATTTTGACGACAATTTTTACTGAATTAATTTGAATATATTTGTAGATTTTTTAAATATATTTTGATTACATAATAATTGATTATTGGGTCTGGAACCTCAAAGTTGATTTGTTTTAGTTGTCATTGGAAACATATACATACTATTTCCATCAGTTTTAGAGTTTTTATGGGGAAACAATAAAACAGTCTGGAACCACAAAGTTGATTTGTTTTGGTTGTCATCGAAACATATACATACTATTTCCATCAGTTTTAGAGTTTTTATGGGGAAACAATAAAACGGTCTGGAACCACAAAGTTGATTTGTTTTGGTTGTCATCGGAAACATATACCGGTACTAATAATTCCATCCGTTTAGAGTGTAAGAGAGAAACTGATCTGATGTCCCCTTTAACCAAAACAGCTTCTGTATAGTAGTATACATAATATTAAAATAATATGACTAGTATACATAAATATTAAAATAATATGACTGTAGTATACATAAATATTAAAATAATATGACTGTAGTATACATAAATATTAAAATAATATGACTGTAGTATACATAAATATTAAAATAATATGACTGTAGTATACATAAATATTAAAATAATATGACTGTGGTATACATAAATATTAAAATAATATGACTGTAGTATATATTAAAATAATATGACTGGTATACATAAATATTAAAATAATATGACTGTGGTATACATAAATATTAAAATAATATGACTGTGGTATACATAAATATTAAAATAATATGACTGTGGTATACATAAAAATTAAAATAATATGACTGTAGTATACATAAATATTAAAATAATATGACTGTAGTATACATAAATATTAAAATAGTATGACTGTGGTATACATAAATATTAAAGAGTTTAAAATAATGATTACCATATGATTGGCATATTCCCAAACTATTTAAATTCAAATATAGGATATTGGTCTTGACATGTTGTTTAGGCATAAAACGCTTAATATATTGTAATAACCAGGAATTACTTTATTCCACAGTGATGTCACAGATTATCCTTGGCCAGTTTATAAGACAAAGTACATCATTGGGGGTCTCTCAATGATTAGTTTTGGATAAAAGCTCTAATTATCTGTTGATCAGGTCGCTGGGTACAACGTGGACCTTATAACTTATTATAAGGTCCATGGATATACCACTGATAATCGCCAGTTAATCCACAGATAGGCATCCACGTAGTTGTGAGTCTCCCATTGATTGGTTGGCCAAACTTTGGACTTGTTTATAACCTTTTTTTTTGGTTAGTTTATTTGGCATTTTTTTTAATGATATTATTTTATGAAAGACACTATGATTGGTTAGGACTAAATGGCATCCCAACCAAGCATTTACAACATTGAGGCAGACATTATTTCATGTAGCATTTAAAGAATTTGGGTAACAGAAATGTCATGGGCTAATTTGGAAATATTTAGATGTAAATATATTTGATTTTATATATGTTTTGTATATGATTAGATTGTGAATTTTAACATTCTTAATGTGTAATATTATAACTAATATGAGTATTCTCAGCTTTATATAGTGTATTCCTGTATGTAACAAGGGGCAGATCCAGGAATTTTTGCAGGAGGGGGTTTGTCAGGTTCCTGTTAAGGAAATTTGACAGTTGACAATACATGATCATCATAGGCATGATAGACATACACACTGAGCTTTTAAAGGGAGAAATCCAACTCCCCGTTTGACGTCAATTTTTATTATGTATTAATAGGATCACCCACTGCCCCCCCCCCCTCGACCCCCACCCCTGGATCCGCCCCTGGTAAAACTTTTATATTAGGATGATTTCATCTGAATTTAGACCTGGAAATACCGGTAGAATTTATGATACATGACAGAATATCAGGCACTATTCCCCCCCCCCCCCCAAAAAAAAACAAAGAAAGAAAGAAAGACTAATCTTTGCCCGGACAAAATGACAGAACAACACCACAAGAATTATACCTGATTATTCCTGAATTTTTACCTGACATATGGTTTTATTATCAGGTTTGCCTTAATTCTAAAAATTTTAAATTTTTAATTTACATAATAAAAGATTTTTGTATATAGATATATGTGACTTGAAAATATTGTGCCATGATTCAAGAAAAAAGAACACTGTGAACTCTGATTTTGCATTAAAAGTTGATATATTCCAAGTGGGACAAATGCAGCGCCATCTTGATGGGTGGACACATACATATCTTAGAAGTTCTGTTTAATTAAGGGATTTTTTGGCAGGACATTTTCAATCAATAATTTGAATGAAAATATTTATGACATCAATAATTTTAATGAAAATATTTATTACATCAATAATTTTAAGGAAAATATTTATTACATTAATAATTTTAAGGAAAATATTTATTACATTAATAATTTTAAGGAAAATATTTATGACATCAATAATTTTAAGGAAAATATTTATAAAATCAAAAGTTATTCAATGGTTAATTCTTTATCTGCATAAAGCAGTGGTTGTAAGACTTTGACAGTATATTTTTTCCTGTGCTAATTTTGAGTGCCTTAGCATGACATAACATTGTATTTTTTGCATGTTTTATATAAAAGAGGTAGACATTAGTTATGTGACTGACACTGTTTACTGTGTTTAATACTTTAAATTGGTAGTATCCCTTTAGCAATTGTCCTGCTCAGTGGCTTATTGGACTGATTTAAGAGGGTTTGGATTGATTTAAGAGGGTTTGGACTGATTAGAGAGGGTTTGCACTGATTGGACTGGGTTTGTGCATGAACTTAGGCTGCATTAAATGTTTTTTCTTAAATTTGAAATTACCAGGCATTAAAGCATAACTGTGGAAAGAATTATTCATTGGTTTTGTCATGATTTGTTCCAATTGTATACTGTATTAATGTTAATGCATACAATAGTAATGTTAACACAATGTTAATGTTAACACAATGTTAATGTTAACACAATGTTAATGTATACTATGTTTATGCATACACTATTATGTTAATGGACACAATATTATGTTAATGATATTAATGTTAACGCAAACAGTGTTATGTTAATGCATATAATATTAATGTTCATGCATATAATATCAATGTTAATTAAAACGATATTAATGGTAATGAATAGAAATATTTATTCGAAATCGCTCAACAGAATTAAGCATCCATTCCATGTTTTCGGTATTTAGAACCCTTTTTGGGATTTATATAAACTGCTCTCAATAAGCTATGCATCACTACCTGCTCTAAAGAGAAACTCACTCCCTATTTTTGGTGTTTTAAAACTTGCTCATTCTATAGGATAATTTTCTACTGCTTCATTAAGATTATTTCTGTATTTATTGGGAAATTCTTGATGTAAAGATGATTATGTTATATAATGTGTAAAACAGGTATCGTTTTAAAGCTTGATAACCATACCTGTATGTGTATTGAAACATAGCATGTTAATCAAATTCAGAAGTAGGGTATCCATATAAGTGTGTTAATTTTAGTGAAATCTATTTTTATATGTCTTATAAGGATTATTTTTTTGGTATTATATCCAAATAATTTTAGTAAATTTCCATTATGTTTTTTTAATTGTCATTTAATTCATGTTTTGCTGTTTTAAGTACTTTAAAGATGGGATTTTTTTTGATGCAGTTCTTAATATTAATGGAAATGATTTTTTGATGAAATCTTCAATAATGACAATGGCTTTTTTTGATACAATTCTTAATAATGGCTTATTGACACAATTCTTAATACTAATGTAATTCTAAATATTGATACTGGTAATATTCTTTTAATGCAATTCTTAATGACAATTCCTTTCAATTTTAAAATACATTTTATTATTTGTACGTAATTTGAAATTATTGTGAAGTAATGATTTTGATATTTATGTCAAATAAAATAAATCGTAGAAATGTTTCTTTTCTTTTTGGCTGAATGTACTGAGGATTTGAAGGGATTTTATTTCGATGTAAACAAGTTTTTTAAATACCCAATGTTTTTGTTTCCGGTTGACGTATCTGAAATTGGTGTAGATGGTTTTGAAATGAAAAGAAATGGGGTTTAACTCATACTTTTCTACACCGTCTGGGCTAATTATACGCCATATAGAGCCAACTGATCTTTAACTGGGACGAAAAACGAAGGTCCCGTGTACACATTGGTGTGCACGTAAAAGATCCCCGAACAGTTGGAATTCTATATTAGAGTAGGCCGTAGTGCCGCTGTCCGGGCAAATTTCCCTCATAGCACACTGTATAGCGTATGCCCGTCTTCATTAGCCCAGTCGAACAAGAACAGTACGGCGTTTAACCCCATCATTTCATTTATTTAACTGTTAAGGATTATTTTACATTTACATTGGACCCCGGTTTTTCATACCATCCGAACGGCCACTCGATTCCTGGCGCATAGTACGATGGAATTAGATCTACTCATGTCTGTTCAGTGCTGCAATGTATATAAAATTTGGCAAAGGACAACGCACAGTCGTTCGGACGGGACGGAAAATCGAGGTCCCGTGTACACATTAGCGTGTACGTAAAAGAACCCTTGATAAAATGTCCCTTATAACAGCCAATAGTCGTGCGTACACGTTTGTCTGTATGTAAAAGATCTTTTGGCAGGTGGAATTTGACTTAAAGTCGACTGAAACGCCACAGGCAGGGCTAAACCTCAATCAAACCACATGGAGAATGACAGAGTCGGTACTGAAAACAGGACTTGAAAATCCATTCAATTTTATTTAACGCTTTATATATGTCTCGTAAATTGAATATCCAAACGTCTGTATCTCAGTTGTGAATTGACGAATGTCTCTTAAATTATGTATGTTGTATTTGCAATGTAGTGGAACAGTCAAATTGAAGGCATCCGTCTTTATTAGCCCACCAAATCGGTGCAGAACTGGAGGACGTTAAACCCTATTGCATTTCTTAAGGGAGATGTTGAAGTACACGTTGTAATATTATTTTAGAGATTTGCGTTTTTACCAGACAAACCATGTAAATTGATCAATTGAAAAAATCTATTTTACACCTAACAAACTATTCACATTATATACATTTATCGGGATATATCTGTTAAACCGACTGTATATACATCCAAAATTGTAACATGCTTAAGGGTGAATCTTGCGTTTTGATTGGTCAATTAGACACTGTCGATTGGACAATAACACCCCTCTGTTCCTAATTTCTTTTAAAATGATAAAAAAAAAACATGTTACAATGTCGATAAACAATTCCTGTTTCGCATTTAGAGGGGTGTTATTGTAAAAAAGGCATTTCCTGAGATTTTACATTAGAACCAGAAACGCCAACGCGTCACGGGTCCTAATGATCTCAGGACATGTCTATTGGACAATAACACCCCTCTAAATGCGAAACACGAAGTCTTTATCTCCTAAATATTAACACACACACAAAATTGGTTTAATAACGTTTTAACATTTTAAAGTACTTTTCGTCTGTCTTGGGATTATTCATAAATAATGTCATTGCATAGAGATGGACCACAAAAAATAACCATGTGTCAGTCTCATATTTCGGAAAGACTATGTTGACGATATTTTAAACCCCTCCCCTTTCTATTATATATATGTTTATTGCGTATCTATAATTTCCATTCCATTGAATGTAAAAAATGTTTATAATAAAGAAATCAATTTGGTTTACTTGACAAAATTTAGATAGCGAATCTTATTTTACACAATATAGCCAAACTTCCTCATGATAGTGTTGGTCGTGTATTTGATAATAATATAGATATCCAACATAACCATTAAAACATGATATAATCTTTTATTTAGAAGGGAAAACAAATTTATATTTATTGTCACCTATAGTTCCTATCAACTATTTATTCATATTAATTGCAACAATTTATTAACATAGAATGATCTAATCCCTTATGTGAATCAATGTAACCGTTAGTGATAATTGTTTCCTGGTTTGATATGTGAAATCTACAGATAGGTAATTATATTGTTTATCACTTGATTTACTTTACAATGGACAAAGAATGCAACATAGAAAAGTATCCCTATTGTATACAGATCTACAATCAACAGGTAAGACTGTATATTATATAAATATTGAAAACATATATAGATAAACTAACGTTATACATACATTTTAAAATTGTTGATTGTTTACGTTATTGTAAATCTAGCTACTTATAATTAGTGACAATTAGTGACAAGTTTTGTACACAGTACAGGGTATGCCTATTCTTTCCATTATACTTAATAACACTTCTCTCATTTTGGGAGTTGACGTAGCTTACTAATTCTATTACAGGATGTTTTGTTTCTTGGTAATAGTTCTTGGTAGAGGTCACAATTTTTATCCGATTTTGGTCAAACTTGAAATGTAAGTTCATAACCCAAAGATCTCGGTTTCTTTCGATATTCGCGCATATCGGCCGGTAACTTCCTGTATTATGGCCCCTGATTGTACGAAAAATCTCGTTTTTAGCTTGTGGACCCTATAGAGGTCATAATTTTTATCCGATTTAAAAAAAACTATTATTATATCACCGTTACACCCTAAGGACGGTTGAGTTCGTATTTCGTGAAAATCGTCCCAAAATTGACAGACAAAATGGCCGTCGTTCGTTCTCAAATAGCGTAAAAATATGGTATATCAAGTTTGTGGACCCTATAGAGATCACAATTTGTATCCGATTTTGTTGAAACTTGAAATGTAAGTTTATAACCCAAAGATATCTTGGTTCCTTTCAATATTCGCGCATATCGGACCGTAACGTCCTGAATTATGGCCCCTGATTGTACGGAAAATCGCGTTTTTAGCTTGTGGACCCTATAGAGGTCATAATTTTTATCCGATTTCAAGAAACGTATTTTTATATCACCGTTATACCCTAAGGACGGCTGAGTTCGAATTTCGTGAAAATCGGCCCAAAATTGACAGACAAAATGGACGTTGTTCGTTCTCAAATAGCGTAAAAATATGGTATATCAAGGTTGTGGACCCTATAGAGATCACAATTTTTATCCGATTTTGTTGAAACTTGAAATGTAAGTTTATAACCCAAAGAGATCTCGGTTCCTTTCGATATTCGCGCATATCGGACCTGAATTATGGCCTCCGATTGTACGAAAAATCGCGTTTTTACCTTGTGGACCCTATAGAGGTCATAATTTTTATCCGATTTAAAGAAACGTATTTTTATATCACCGTTACATCCTAAGGACGACTGAGTTCGAATTTCGTGAAAGTCGGCCCAAAACTGACAGACAAAATTGCCGCCCTTCGTTCTCAAATAGCGTAAAAATATGGTATATCAAGGTTGTGGACCCTATAGAGGTCACAATTTTTATCCGATTTTTTTGAAACTTGAAATGCAAGTTTAAAACCCAAAGATCTCGGTTCCTTTCGATATTCGCGCATATCGGACCGTTACTTCCTGAATTATGGCCCCCGATTGTACGAAAAAACGCGTTTTTAGGATGTGATCCCTCTAGATGTCACAATTTTTATCCGATTTAAAAAAACGTTTGAATATATCACTGTTACACCCTTATGATGGTTGAGTCCAAATTTCGTACATATAGGACCAAAGCTGCCGGACAAAATGGCTGCCCATCGTACGCAAATATTGTAAATATGTGGTATATCAATTTTTTGGACCCTCTTTGAGAGGACACAATTTTGATCCGATTTTGATGAAACTTGAAATACATGTTTATAACCCAGAGATCTTGGTTCCTTTCAATATTCATGCATATCGGATTGTAACTTCCTGAATTATGGCCCTTGATTGTACGAAAAATCACTTCTTTTTTTGAGCTTGTTCTCTGTCCGTCTCTTGCAAAATGTGGACATACCTTGCATGGCAACCGCTTGTTAGATTCGCCACATATCATCGAAAAGAAATTACTATTAGGTCTTTTAATATTTTTCACTTACTTTTTTAAAGATTATTTAAAAAGTAGATTAATACGTAGTTATTTATTAATATATTTTAGATGAAACGTTGGATATTCTAGAAAATTACGGATCAGATGTCTGACAAATAGCAGTTTGACATACGAATATCCACAGCGTTTTTAGGTTCGCCACGTATCATCGAAAAGAATTACCTTTTAATATTTTTCACTTAATTTTTGTAAAGATTATTTAAAAAAGTAGATTAATACTTTCTTATTTATTTCTATGTTTTAGATGCCACGTTGGATGTACTTGAAAAATTCCGTATGAAATGACATGGATCATAAAGTTTGCATACATCAGGGTCAGGGACATATTGCTTGGAGATTTGCCGAACACCAGCAGCGTATAAGATAATCGTTCTCAAATAGCGTAAAAATATGGTATATCAAGGTTGTGGACCCTATAGAGGTCACAGTTTTTATCCGATTTTGTTGAAACTTGAAATGCAAGTTTAAAACCCAAAGATCTCGGTTCCTTTCGATATTCGCGCATATTGGACCGTAACTTCCTGAATTATGGCCCCCGATTGTACGAAAAAACGCGTTTTTAGGATGTGATCCCTCTAGATGTCACAATTTTTATCCGATTTAAAAAAACGTTTAAATATATCACTGTTACACCCTTATGATGGTTGAGTCCGAATTTCGTACATATAGGACCAAAGCTGCCGGACAAAATTGCTGCCCATCGTACGCAAATATTGTAAATATGTGGTATATCAATTTTTTGGACCCTCTTTGAGAGGACACAATTTTGATCCGATTTTGATGAAACTTGAAATACATGTTTATAACCCAGAGATCTTGGTTCCTTTCAATATTCATGCATATCGGATTGTAACTTCCTGAATTATGGCCCTTGATTGTACGAAAAATCACTTCTTTTTTTGAGCTTGTTCTCTGTCCGTCTCTTGCAAAATGTGGGCATATCTTGCATGGCAACCGCTTGTTAGATTCGCCACATATCATCGAAAAGAAATTACTATTAGGTCTTTTAATATTTTTCACTTACTTTTTTAAAGATTATTTAAAAAGTAGATTAATACGTAGTTATTTATTAATATATTTTAGATGCCACGTTGGATATTCTAGAAAATTACGGATCAGATGTCTGACAAATAGCAGTTTGACATACGAATATCCACAGCGTTTTTAGGTTCGCCACGTATCATCGAAAAGAATTACCTTTTAATATTTTTCACTTAATTTTTGTAAAGATTATTTAAAAAAGTAGATTAATACTTTCTTATTTATTTCTATGTTTTAGATGCCACGTTGGATGTACTTGAAAAATTCCGTATGAAATGACATGGATCATAAAGTTTGCATACATCAGGGTCAGGGACATATTGCTTGGAGATTTGCCGAACACCAGCAGCGTATAAGTTTGAAATAAATCTGACATTTCCAACAGAGATTTGTTTTTAAAGCTTTAAAGCCTTGATAATGCATGTTCATTTAAATAGGACTGATGCAAACATAACCAATATGGCAGACGTTGTCGGTCATAAACAAATACCAAATCAAGTGAATGGCTCTTAGGGCCAGCCGTAAGCGTCATACCAGTGGATGTCATCAGTTAGAATTCAAAATATTACCAATGATAAGGGAGATAATCCGAATAGAAAGTGTAGGGAGCAAAGCCCACCAGAGAGCATTCATCAGTGACACTGACACAGAAGTTTTCTAAATTAGTTGACGCTGATTGACACCTTTGACATGGTAAACAATAGTTAACATGCCTTGAACTCTGGTGCTGGTACGATGATCAAATACATGTATTGAAAATTTGTTGAAGAAAAATAAAATATTATGATCAATGTAGAAAATAAATATTATAATCAGGTGGAATTCATATGTGTCATTATTTATTCAGGACTTCAACAAAATAAAGAGGGTTGCGTTCGTTTTTCACTTTGGAATATGATTAAAATTCGTTTTTATTTAGAAAAATGTTGCCATGGTAACCAGTCAAAATCAGTGATTTATAATTCTAAGCTAATGTGTCTGGATATGTAAAACTAATAAATTCATATTTTAAAGTGTCAAACTTTTGTTAATGGTGGAATTGGTTTTCATAAACACAACTAAAATAAAACATATGATTCCAATGTATTTTAGAAAGTTAAAACAAAAATGAACTGCCTGTGTGATGTTACTAAGTTATTGTTAAATTCAATATCACCATATAAGATTATGTGAAATTGAGCCATGTGTTAATATCCCTACTCTAATAAGAAGGTTTGGTTTAGGTTTTCCCCTTTCAATGTGATATAAAACCAATTATTTATATAACGGTTACCATGGTAACCGGCAAAATAGTTTTATTTGGGTGACCCAAGATATAGTGTCACTTAAAATACAAAACAAATTAAGATCTGCAAAATGATCTTTTGTGGCAAAAATCATATACACTTAAAAAAAAGTAGGGGATATTGAAATGCAAATACCTATGCAGGTTTTGATATGATACTCATGGACACTTGACATGCTTTGAATATATATATATATATATATATATATATATATCCAAAATTATTAGCACAACCGCAAAGCTGCACTACTTTGTTTCACGGTAAATGATGAAAAGATAAAAAAAAGGTATGCCGACACAAACTGATTTCAGCACTGGTTTAATAACATTTTAACATTTTAAAGTACTTTTCGTCCGTCTTGGGACTATTCATAAATAATGTCATTGTATAAAGATGGACAGTATAGTATATTTATACATATTTACATAGTAACACTGTGGTTTTAATTGGCTATAGTTACCATTGTCTATGGTTACATAGTATATCGTTAACTAATAGAAACATGTACACACATGTGTTAATCTGTAGTATACGGGGTTCAATTTATGAACAATGAGTTTAAGATAATCATGGGATAGATTTAAGAAAATTAATGAAGCTAATGGCCAATTGTTACTTATTGACTATTAAGTCGAGGAACATATTTTTTAATAAAATGGTTTTCCATATATATATATATATATATATATATATATATATTCAATACTTCGATCAATCATGGAACAATACACGTCTATGTACATCAGTGATGTGTGAAGAAAAGTTAAACAAAACATCCTAGTACTCAGATTTCAGAACAATACTTAAACCATTTAATCGAATAAAGCACGACAATGATTTATGAGGATGTTTGGACATAAACGTCGATATACGTCAGAATTTTAATTAAGAATAAGTTTCTGAATACGATTTGAGACACAAAGGGCTTGCTTAGGAGGTTATGAAAATCTGTACTTTTACGGCAATCGGTGACGATGCTGTAGAGACAAATTAAATATCTTTAATATCCCCCGGGGAGTTGGCTGGTCGTTTAAGATCATAAGGTTTGTGGTGTGTTTTCGAACCTACACTTATACGTGTCAAGGAGTAGGGTCGCCAGTTCAAAATCGCTAGGTTTCTTCGGGGCCTCCGATTTCCCGCCACTGATAAGACGCCTATGAACATAAACACTTTTTGGGAGATATATCCAAGATCAGGGGATTCGGCGGGACTATTGTTTTTTTTTTGTTTTGTTTTTTTTTGGGGGGGGGGTATATAGAAACCCCCTTTCAAGCCCAGGCCTCGAAGAATTTGTCACGAATTTTAACTAACTAAACAACCAGAAAATACCTCATGGAGGACATTTTGAATATTTAAATTTCCCCAAGGATGGCAGGGTGGCATCATCAGGATTCTGAATATAATCATATTGAAGATACATAATCCATAATCAATCAATAAAACAAAATAATTGGGCTGTATTTCCATTCTTGTCGACCAACTGCAGGAATAATGTTTCATTTCGTGTTTAGTCTACCGTTATTCCAATCTGATGAAAATACTGAACGTGGAGAAGCCAAGAGAATAGAACCTATGTTATCAGACAGGTAAATGAGTAAATGCACATTAATCTGTTCATTATGGCGGTAGGATAATAATTGTATTTATTTAGCAGAAGAAAGTATAGAAACTATCCTATTTCTTTCAATCTGATTAAAAATACAGATCTATATTTCGTTTCGTTTTTTTTTTTTACTTTCGAATATCTGATCGTTTGTAGAAAAGAGTCGCGTCAGAGGTCGTACGAACGGCTTTTGACCCTATGACGCAAGACGTTGATTAATCAATCAGCGTTGACGTTTCTAGTCGCCGTAACATATGATTCAATTGGCTAATCACTTCCGCCATCCAGATACTCGTGTATAGACAAATTAAACGAACTTTTGAACTATAAAAAACGAAACGAAATAGGATATTATGTGTTTTAATCAGATTGCTCTTATTCCAGATTATTCACAAAGCTGTCGTTGTTAATTTTACAGAGACAAAATAATCGAGATCCAATCGATAGTTTTGGGTTGTCTTTAATAATAAATGTCACAATCTGAGTTTGTTTTCTGTAATAGTAAAAAGATTGTTGACCTAGCTGCTAATTGAAGAGAAGTTTTTATCGAATGTCTTGAATAAATATTCTCGATCGGAGAAACATGAGACAATAACTTCTTAAATTATATTGAACGGTTCGTCAACTAATTACTGAGTTCGAGGAATTGATTTCAGCATGAGATAATGTTTTAATTAAATGTTGTTGATGCTAATAACAATCTAACCATGAGGGGTACACGACATAGTGACAATAAGATATTGTGTGAGTGTGTGTGTTGGGGCGGGGGAGTTGGACATATTCATAATAATATTAGGCTATGACATGGTAGGGGGGTGGGGTGACTGAGTCACAATAAGATATTAGGCTATATGCTAACAGCGTCATTATTCAATGCGCTGGCCAACTAACTAGCAGGTTTCTGGGTCGATTCAGGTGTTGGTCGAGAAAAGTTATCGGGGTTGTTCAGCTTGGGTCAACTCTCCGGACAGCTGAGTTCCACCTACTCCGACAGACAAAGCTTGGTTTACACAACGTGTATGTTGCAGTATGGACACATCCAGCCTATAGAGTCGCACCGAATATTAGTATGGAGAAATAGCACCAAATCGGTCAACAGCGTCAAAGGTCATACGGGGATTATCGTATATCTCTTGCGATTGGCTAAGGGGAAAAATGATCTTCACCTTGTATATGCAGAATGTATTGTTAACCTGTCTCATAAATCAACTGTAAACAGATATGTGTTTGCTGCAATAGCTACGGTATTCGCTATACCTATACAAGGTCGAGACTATTTGTGTAGTGCAACCTTTAAAGCAATAGTTAACCAGTATCAACTGATAGAATTGTCTTTTTATCATCAGAATACTTCAAGTGATCTCAGTTTTCATCTCAATTACCCACTGTCGTGATTGCGCGTACTGTAGACGTGTGAGAGATAGTATCATGAGTTAACAGAACTGTAAGAGCTTTTATTGAAAAATACAGAAACTTCAATATACATATCGTTTTTCACTGCTTTTGAAGCACTGTCGGAAACCTTGAGTCTATGTGATACGCTTGTGTGAAGCAAGGCGCATATTGATTCAAATAGGTTAAAATGGTTGCTAACCTTTTTATTTATTTATTTAAGTAAATATATTGAAGTATTGATTTTGTAAAGTGTAATCAATCTATTGACATACAACGGGCACCAGTGGAAAATTAATCAATTCAAATAATGGTAATTTTTATATTGCTTTTGTTTTATGTATCCAACTTTAATATTTGTATTCTTTATTGTAAATCTACAAGGCCAAGGACATCTATTGTAAATCTATCGTAAATCTTTCAGGTGTAACAGTAGCCAATGTGGCTCGGTGTGTAACTCGATGTCTCACGTGGCTCGGTGTGTAGGGGGGTTGGATGGCCGAATGGTTAGCACGTGCGCGCTGTATCATAAAGCCTGTCATTGAGTCAACTGGTGTGGTTTCGAATCAACGGTTGTACGTGACAAGGCGTAGGGTCGCCTGTCCAACCTCGTGGGTTTTCTCCGGGTCCCCCCACTGCTAAAGACCCCTACGCGCAAGCGAATTTTTGAAATAAAATTAACCCATATGTTAGTCCCGAAATGACCTTGTTTGTGTCGAGTGGACGTTAAACCCCTTTTCTCTCTCTCTCTCTCTCGCTCGGTGTGTAACTCAATGGCTCACTAACCTGGGGATCCCTGCATCTATTCCGGTGTTACCGAGACAGGTAGTTCTTAGGACTTTAAGGTAGATCGAAGGTAGGGGTTCGGGGGAGAAGACGAGAATTGAGGTGGAGGCGGGGATAGAAGGGCGGTGGAAAGAATTGGGATGGAAGGGGAATAGAAGAGGTGAAATAGAACGAACAGAGGTTAAAGAAAGAGATAGAGGTGGGGGGAGAGAGGAGAGGACGGAAGAAGGGGTGGAAAAAGGCTGAAGAAAGAAACGAGGTGGAAAGAGCCCTGCAAAAGTAGTGAGTAAGGGTTGTCGTATCGACAGGGTATGTTCTAAAAGAGTAAAGGACTGTAGATTAATCTGATATACATATTTTAATATTCACTAACTCGATTCACTTATGTAACAATTGTTCGTGCTTTGTTGTAGCTTACCATCCTTAATCCCCTTAGAGTAACAACAGATCACAACGACGCACCGTCTTAACCATTAACTGTATTAATTTGACAATTTAGAGAAAATACAAATGACGTATCGCTACTTTAAAAATCTAATTAATTACATATTATTCCCGCGACTCTCCAGCCCTTACTATTAATAAACATCTTAGTTTTTACAATATTGGCTTATCTGGCTGCCAGAAATATCATATTGTTGTTCGGTATGAAAGAGTGATGAAATACTACTTCAGTGAACATCTTTAACAAAAGCCTCCAACCTAGACAATAGGTATGACAATGTTTACTTTGTCTTAATATTTCAATTATTTAGAAATTAAACAAAACAATAAATTTTCAATCAAAATGAACAGAAGACGTTACTTTGTGTCTTTATCATTGAAGTTGATTGGAATAACGGTAGTCAAGACGATGCGGCTAAGCTTGAAAAAATAACTACACTTGGACGCATTGTGTACTATTACAGGCTTTGTTAGAGGCACTT